TATATATATATATATATATATATGTATAAGGTTGGTTCCACATGAGACCAGACTGTTTTCGTGAGACCCGTGAGACCACATTTTTACACTTGAAACTTCACAGCAAAAACACTGTAAAAGTTTAAAAAAGTCGAACCTTCACAGCAAAAACACTATGAAGGTTACCTCCGCAGCATTTTGCTGTGAAGTTTCAAGTGTAAAAAGTTGGTATCACGGGTCTCAGGAAAATAGGCTGGTCTCATGTGATCCCAAATATATATATATATATATATATGTATATGTGTGTGTATGCATATGTATATGTATGGATGGATAAAACTAGGTGATAAATGAAGAATGGAAGTGAGTTTGGTGAACAAATGTTTTGAGTTGGGTTCTTGTATCTTAGGTAAGCAAAACAAGCAATTTTCTGCTTATGCTTGCTTCCTTCTCTCTCTCTCACACACACACACACACATATATATATATAATTAAGATTATAATTTCCTTATATAAGTTTTAATTAATTAATTAATTGGCGATGGGAGTGGTTATGTTGCATCGCATGACCACTTCACAACCACCTCCCCATCATCTTTGCATTTTTTTCATTAAATAAATATCTAACTCATTCTTTAAAAAATAAACATCACATTTATTATTTTAGTACTTGTAAAGAATGTCAAAATATTATTATATGTTTTTTTTATAACTTTGCATGTAATAAAATTATTGTATTTTAAAATTCATGTAAATACGATCAGTACATATGAATGAAGATGAGACAAAGACTGTTCTTTTGTAACTGTCACGACCCTGTGCCAACCTTCTAAATCCATGTCATCCTTCCTTAAGTTATAATGTGCGTTCTCAATTACCCGTCTCATACTTGTCCTGATCAAAGGTTATATGATGTTTTCAAACTGGAATGATGCGGTAAAATGAAACCGACTTCGATTTCATCTTTCCTTCAAAAAGATTGATTTTATCAGTTAAGGGACCCGGTGGCTAGATTAATGTTCATCGAAATAGGAACGATGGCTCGTTTTGAATTTCCAAAATACAAATTTTACAAGTTGGAACCACAAGGGTGGTGCTTGATTGGTTTGAGCTTGGGCTTCAAAGGTCAAAATGTCTGGAGGTCCCAAGTTCGAATCTAAGGAGGAATATAAAAAATCTCCTTGTGGTCACGAATGTTCAAATGCAGTGACTCCGGACTACCTGCAAAACGGATGGTCGCCCTGAGATTAGTCGGATCGTATAACGAGTTGGATATCCAGGTTAATCAAAAAAATTTACAAGTTGGTTTTACAAAAACAAAAAACAAAGACAAAAATTGATTATATTTTGATACCCATAGTGGATTACAGGGATGTTCAAATAAGAAAGACAAAATGATTCAGAAAGTAAGAATAAATGATTCAATTGTGAATCATTGCTAAAAGAAAACGTAGGTTAACACATGCATATTCATATGTGAATAATTGGTAAAAAAGTAGGTTAACGAACATTAGTTCACATCTCCATTTTTCAAATAGATTTTTTTTGCTTTACCAACAATTCACATAAATATATTTCTTTTGTGTTTCTTATTTGAATACCTTTGCATGATATCATCCAGGGGTGTGCATCGGACGGGTCAGATGGGCAAACTAAAAACCCGATCGATTTCAGATAAGGAAACCAGACCTCAAATTTCTAGTTTCGGATTGATTCGGATCGGGTTGGTCGAGTTCCGGGTTGAGGTCGGTCGGATTCAGGTATAAATAATGCAAAAATTATATATATATATATATATATATATATATATTTAATCGATTTTGAGGATGGATTCAATCAATTGAGAGTATCAATGAAACAAATAATAGGGTTAGATTTTATAAAACACTATGACCGACTAAGATTTTCAAAAGATAATTAGATAAATAAATATACTTACATAGGGTTGGGTTTCGACGAGAAGGAAAATTATGGTGAAAAGTTTAAGAAGAGATCTCCATCATTTGATAAATCTTAATTGAATGTCAACATTGATGAGGTGCATTGAGATACACTATGAAATTCCCTTCTAAAACACAATTTATGAGTAGACATGAGATTAAAAGTGATCAAAAGTTCATATATCTTTTTAGGATTCTGACCATAACTTCCATTTTTTCACGATCTTTCGCCTATTTATATAATATAATATATATATATATATATAGGGGCCTATTCAAGGGAGAACTGAGTTGTTTGTGGTAACTGTGAGAACCAATATTAACCACAAATTAATAGATAAATTAGGAAATTTATAAATTTGGTGATTAGGCCCCTATATATATATATTTCAGGTTTTCATACAGGTCTGGTGACCAAAAATCAAACCTAATCCGAAACCCATGTATTCCCCAAAATTCAGGTTTTGGATTTACAGAATTTAAGGACATTCGAATTTTACACAAATACCTTATTTTCGATTCGGTTCAAGTTCATATTCCAATTTCGGATCATTCTCCTGGTACCGTGGGTCAAACGGTCAAAGGGAAAAAATGTTGTTGAAGGGTAAAAGAGGAAAATGACATAATAATAAATAATAATTTAAAGAAATAAAAAAAGAGGTACGTCAGTTTAATTAGGCCAACCGCCCCAACACCACCCCAACCATGAGCAGGAAAAGGAAACAAAAGAGAGAGTTTTGATTCTGAAATGCGCGCGTATATACATACACATACATACATATATATATATATATATATATATATATATATATATATAAACCTTCATCAATTCTCCAAATTCCCCAATTGCTAAAACCTTCATTTGTTTATTGCATCAATGGAGGCATCGAATTCGTCCATTAACGAAGCGTACTGGCCGCTTCCCTATCTTTACTCCTCCTTCACCTCCGTTTGGCTCGTTTTCGCTTCTTGCTGGATCATCAACACCTACATCAACCGTCATTTTCAGGTCATATTCACTCTCGTTTCTTCTCTCATGTATTCGATTTATCCACATCTTACATCGTCTATTCATTTCTTCATCTCAATTTTGTTTAATTTTGTGCTGTTTCTGTGATGGTAATTAGAGCAGGTGAATAGTTTACAATGGACGCTTGCGTCAGTTCCTTGTGTTAAAGCTTTGCAACTTGCTTTTTCCTTTTTCTTCTGGTATGTTCTTAAACCATCGATCATTAGTTAATAACGTATCTTACATTAGTTAATAACGTATCTTGAGAGATGTTTAATTGTAAGATAGGACTAGCAGGAGACAGTGATTATGCATCATGATTCATGAATTAGGCGATTGCTCATAGGACTGTGTTTTGGTCCTTTTGGGAGGGATCCTTTGAGGTTTTGGAATTGGGAATTGAATGTTCTATCATTTCAAAACTGAAATCGATTACTCTGTTCAATTGTATGGCCACCCCACTTTTAAACACATATATTATTGTTGTAGAACTTAGAATGATACACATGATAAGCAACTCAATTGGTAATATCTTTGCGGTCATGGTTTCGAAACCCATCCCTTGCATTTAAATCTTTTTTTATATTAATCTGGATATCCAACCCGTTATGCGAGCCGACTAATCCCAGGACGACCACCCACTTTGCGAGTAGCTCGGAGTCACAACATTTGAACCTCCATGGCCAAAAAAGGATTTTTATTCCTCCTTGGATTTGAACCTGATACCTCCAGGCACTTTTGATTTTTGGAGTCAAGCTCAAAACATTCGGACACCACCCCTGTGGTTTAAATCTTTTTTCTTCCTATTCACTTTATAATAAACTATTAATATTTAATTATATGTAAATATTAGTTTTGTTAAATATAAAGAAATCATGTTTCCCGATGTTTAAGTTGGTATTACTATTTTTCGGTTGATAGTTTAAATCTTTCGAGTTTTAATCTTACATTAACCACTCTTTTCTACTATTTAATAGTCCAAAAACGTATCATATGGATTTATGAATTTTTGCAATATTATAGCAATTCAAGCGGTTTCTCCAATTTTTTTCCAAAATCAATAATTATAACTCAAAATCTTAAAAAAAAGTTATATTTATCTCCAATAGATTCTCTATTTTGAAGACTAAAACATTAATTATATTATTAAATAATTTGAATATCTATTTACTCATAAACCTTTAACATCAAAGATTCCTATTGGTATGAATATAGTGAAAAAATGTTTCTTTCATTGTAATCATTTATGGGGTGTTTTTCATATTTGGAGAAATTTACACCTTTTCTTATGTTTTCTCCATTTTGGAGAAGCCCGTGGAACAAAAATATGCGTAAAATCTCCAGTTTCTCCATTTTGGAGAATATGTTGGAGATACTCTTATATTTCGGCCCCTGGACTACAATGGCCGTGTTCCGCCTCTTCCTTTGCTGGATTCCCGACTTATATGAACCTTTGTGAATGCAAACAAATAGGGTATACTAAATGTGATGATAATCAACCCCCCAAATCATAAACAAGCAACCTTTCAAGGCGCTAGAGTAAAACCGGGACCTTAGGCCATTTAAAGTCCACTACCACCAATAAACAATACAAAAGTCTTTCTCCGGCTAAAACTAGAGGCACAAAAAAATCATCATGCTCTTGGAACAAATCATCAAGAAGTATAGAATCAAACCAAAAGAAAAGATCAGAAATATCAGCCAGAAAAATTGCAATCTGTCAAACAGTAAAATATGACTTACAGATCTCCAAAACCAATTTCCACCATTGAGAATGTGGATAAAGATGTCATGACTCGTGAAAAACCATGACGATCCCATGGTTCAAACTCCGGAAATAAGAAAAACGTAGCGGTTGTGCTTTGCCCAAATGTACAGCCGAACTTTTTCTCTTTTCTCTCTCACTTCTGTATCCTGTGAACTCTCTCTTCATGTTACAAAATCCTAGGATACAAGGCAATATATAGCTTGTATCGGAGCACTATTGTTGGACTTTTTTAACTATTCCACAATAAAATCCAACACATGGTGCAGGCTTCTCTTCAATTGACCTTTTCTGGTGATACAGTGGCGGAGGATAATAAAACTTGAATTTTCCACATTCATACAAGTAAAGTAATATGTTTTAGCCCTCTCTTTTTCTGAAAGGAAAGATTATCTGTAACATTTATGTGTTTCCAAAATCAATTCAAATCATATACTCTTGCAGGTATTCATGTTTTTATTACCAAACATGCTCTCTGTGGATGTCATTTGGAGTATATGTAACTGGATTGCTCTTTGAGACAGCTTCGATTGTGTCATTTTTGCTGATTTCCCACGGCTATTGTATCACTTCTGAGCGTCTTTCAGTACCTGAGCGTCGAGCCATGGCTGTACTTGGTTGTGTCTTCTATCTGATTCTTGTTGGTCACAGAGCTTCTATACCTTACTTCTCAGTAAGTTTTCTTGATGTTTAGCAATAAAAAACACTTGCAGCTTCTCTTACTATTGGAGTCCCATATCAGCTAGACTTGGACCATTTCTCCGGTATATATGTTAGAACCTCCCCTTCCTCCTCCAGGACTCCTTTGGAGAGTGATATAAGGGTTCCACATATTGTCACATTAACTTCTATTATAACGACAATTCATTTTCAAGATGCTAATACTTTGAATGAATCATGCAGTTCCTTCTGGTGCTCGACTATTTGCTCATATTCTTTGTGATATTTAATCATATTACTCAGAACTTATCACTCTTAAGTGAGCAGTTGAATTTTATAGAGGATGAAGATGTCCAAGAGATGCATGATGCTGTCTACACTAAATACCTTATGTTCAAGTATGCGCCAGCTAGCAGTTCTTTTCTGTTTTCATTTCAGCTGGCACAGTTCTTTTCTGTTTTCATTTCTTTAGTTCATACACAATGACAGAGTCCCACATAGGCTAGACTTTGGACAAATTCTTCTCTATATATGTTGGAACTTCCCTTCTCTTCTCAAAGACTCTATTGGAGATTGATCTGATGGTACCAGAGCCAAGGTCTACCATCTAGGGCATCTTTGCCCGGGACTCAACATTCTTGGACATCTCAGTTGGAGGGGGTGTGTTAGAGCGGCTAGACTTGGAAAATTTCTCTTTTATAATATATGTTGGAGTCTCCCTTCTCTCCCCAAGGGCTCTTTTGGAGAGTGATCTGACGGTTCCACACATTCTCACAATGACTACATCCTTTTCATGGCATGAACACTTAGAAATCATAGTAATTGAAACCAATTTTGGCTTTTCTTGTTTTGCTGTACAGGAAATTCAGAGGTGCAATGCATATAGTAGCTATAGCAGAAACCACGGTGAATTTCTTTACTTCATATTTTCTTACTATGTATAGTTTTGATTATTGCAATATGGCTACTAGAGAAAGAACATTAGTTCAGCATATATGGATTTCAGATTTTCATCAACATGGACAGTTCTGTGGAAAACTATTGGATGAAGCTACTGGCTCGTGAATGGGCACATTTCTGTATCTTTCTGTATATCGGGTATGGTAACACTGCATTCGAATGGATTACATCCGTCTTTTATATGTTAATGTCGTCTCTCCGGTTTTTGGGCATGCTAATAGTTTGCCATCGTGACAGATGGATTTTTCGGTCTCAGGACTTGGCACCACGATTCTCTGTTATGCCAACTCACAAGTCTAGAAGCAATAGAATTGTTCCTCCCATCTACAGCATTGTAAGTTCATATATCTTCAAAAATTTAACCAAGGTTAATTTCTCCATATTAGGGGATGTTTTGTTGGTTTTCCATTCCATCCTGTACGGATAAAGTGATAAAGTTGTATGTCTGTCTCTAGAGATTGGGAAGATTTTTGTTTGGAAGGGCTTTTTCATAGATGAAAGGAGCATATTCCTTAATTGGGAGGGCCAAGTCCTGGAAAAACTTGGCTTTCTATATAAAACTCCTCCTAGAAGCTTACTGAATAAGGCGCTTTCTATATAATTAAATCACTACCAAACAGTCATGTATAGTTGACCGAATAAGTTGTGAGTCCCATTAAGTTCATTAAGCTGCTAATGAACATGCCCTAAGTGTCATTGTTCTCAGCTATTCTGGGATATCTAGGTTGAATGACATTGAAATGAGTTTTCAATTTGGGACATGACCACCTACAAAAAAAAATGAACTGAATGACCATCCTCTGACCTACTCTTGCTGTTAAGTAGTCTTCCCTGGATATAAAACAACCTTGAATACACTAGAGGGTCATTTTGTAAAATGAGCTTCTGAAGAAGGTCATTGAGCTAAATAGCCCTTGTATGATCTCTGCATACTATATGATGATGGCTGTAACTTTATTCCTTTCTGTTTATACTATATGATGATGGCTATAACTTTATTCCTTTCTGTTTAAATCTGACACATGGAGGAGGGCACAGCTTCTTTTAGATATGGACACATTCATGATGTCTTATATTATGGTCGACTTCGTAATTGTCTATTCGTATCCTTGATAAGTGACCTCAGGGTCTGTTTGTTAGCAGCTTAATGAGTGGGACTCGCGACTTATTCAGTCAGCTAAACATGACTATTCGGTAGTGGCTTAATGAGATAGAAAGTGACTTATCTAGTAAGCTTTAAGGGGGAGCTTTATAAAAATGCCAAGTTTTTTTCGAACCTGCCACTCCCAATTAAAATACTCGTTCCTTCCCTCTATGAAAAAACCTTCCCAAATAAAAATCTTTCCAATCTATACAGACAGATTAATCCATACAAATAACTTTATACATACTGGACTTGATGAAAAACCAAAAAGCAGTGCCTTAGAATTCTCCGTAGAAAGGAAAACTAATGCATTGTTAGAAGACAGTTGAAGTTCTTTTCAGATACCAAATTCAAACATATCGTTATTTCAGGAACTCGATGAAGCATCTTTCAAAGATTTTAGCAGCCGAGAATGGCAGATTGGAGTGGTAAGTTGTGTTCAAATCAAGGTCAACCATAACAGATTGGAGTTATTGAACTCAGTAGTAATTGTAGCTTTATTGACATTAAATCTGCGGATTGCAGCCAACTTCTTCTCAGGATAGGATCTCGAAGGACTCAATTCTAGTAGTGATTCAACATCCCCATGCATCTAGACCAATTTTAATCAATTCTGGATCAGGATTCCCAACCAATTCAGCAACTATATCTTCCCCAAAAGCCAGCATATAGGAAGGACTTCAAGTATCTGAGATCTTTCTGTTATATTTCTTGCATCGAAAGGGAAAACTGATACCGTTAGATATAGATATAAGCAAGTAGATATCAAATCTGCAGCCAATCGATTACGACTGTAATCGAGTATGGTACACGAATATAAAACTGTAAATACTTTCTAGTGTTCGTTTTTACGCTCTAAAAGGGAACTTCGCAACCGAAAACTTGCGTGTGTATGACATCATTGTCGTATAGCAGCCTAGCCTATACGCGTGAATGTAAAGGCTGTTGGGAAAAAAAAGTCTTTTTGTATCGATATGTAATGCAAAACAGTCTTTTTCCTCAGGGAATTACGTCTTCATGATGTTAAGATTGTTGTATCGAGCAGATGTATATGTTGAACCCTATTAGATGATTCATCAGAGGCTAAACGGGTACAGATTGAGTCGGAAGTGGATTTCGGATAGTCAAAGTCAATGGTGCCGGTGCCGGCAGACTTGGGTTTGTTTATTATTAAAACATAGTTTGAAGATTGTTATCGAAACAATCTGACAGAATTTGGCATTGAGTGGTTGGTGGGATAACAAGAAGACACATTTCACATTCATTGTTGCCATAACAAGAAAAAGATTTGGTAGGATAACAATTGGAGTTATCGAATCAATCATAATTACTTAACCAACAATCTCACTTCCTTTTATCTTCGACAATCAAATGATAACTAACTCGACTAATCCCGAGCACCTCGAGAGAATGGTCACAAAAATCCTCAATAACTTTGCTACCAGTCTCGTTGACGATAAACGTTTTCAAATATTTATGATATAAAAAGCATAAAGTAATATAAAAGATAATGGTCTTGTTTTTAATAGGTAATGTTATATTTATCATTTTTTATGTCAGAATCAGGTCAAATTGTATATTAAAAATATAAGAAGAAAATTTTATACTGATATATGTAAAAAAAAATAACAGATAAAAATCTATTTAGCAAAAAAGTCAAGGATTTGCTACCCATTTTCAAAAAGTTGACTTTAGACCTAACCCAAACTTTAGGTAGTGTTTTTATATGTAGATTGAATAAAATAGGAGATGACAAAACAAGACAAATTAATTATAACATTGTAAAGGGACAAATTTGAGAATATAAATATCACTCATCAAGAACTTTAATTTAACCTATTTCAAAGGAGTCTTTCTCTTTGTTACCTCGATGGGTTCGCTTCAAAATCATCTCCTTCTCTCTCTTTCTTTCTTTCTCTCTCTATATCTATATCTATATCTATATCTATATATATCCCTTCTTTCCCACCATTTTCTTCTCCTTCTCCCTCCCTCCATGGCCTCATTTCAATCCCCCAATCTCCCTTTATACAATCTGTAAGCTCTATCTTTCTTCTCTTACTTCTTTGCATTTGTATGCTCTTTGTTTTCATGTTATATGTTGAAATGTGTCTTCTTTTACATAGTATCAGAGCCAAGTTTACCACTTCAGTGAGTGACCCTGTAAGGCGATTTGTACTTGTCTAGCCTTCTCTCGACACTCTAGGACAACTTGTGTCCGTCTAGCCTTTGTTGAGAGCGGGGGGATTGGAGTCCCTCGTTGGCTTGACTTCAACCATTTCACTTCAATGTATTGGAACCCCTTCTCTCGTCAAGGTCTCTTTTGAAGAGTAATCTAATGGGGTTCTACATGTTCTTTCAAATGGCCTGAAACGCATTTTATTTGTAATCTATTCAGCATGATAAGGTTCGTTAAGTCATCTTTATGTCACAGGGATTCTTCTGGATCAGAAGACACTGCGGTTTCTAAAGCTTATTCGTCCAAGTTTAGTAGGAAACAGCAAGAAAAATGTAGCTCTTCAACGAATAATCCTTCACATGGGTTTCTGTTTAAACGATGCATCTCATCGTCTCATAGAATTTCATTAAGTTGGTGTTCATCTAAATCTTTGTTCTCAATTGCATCTTCTGGTAGAGATGACTTCATTTCTGAAGACGAACCGTCTTCAAGTATGATGCACAAAAACGAATTGGAATTTAACCGCATTAATTGTCTCGTATGGGTATTGCACGAATCCGCCAGAAGCTTTTCTCTCGCGATTCAAACTCTAAAATTCACAAGAAAAAGTCCCCCGCTTTCGAATGCATGGAACGGAGTAGATGTGAACGCGTGGCATAAACGGACTGCGTATCAGGTGAGCTATATGTTTCACGATATAGGGTTGGTGATATCAGACAAGGTGAGAACAAGTGAAGGTACCCTTATATTGTGTGAAGATAATCCAGATCGTAAAATATTATTGTTTTCACTTGTGCGGTTGTTAGACCATAAACTACAACAAAATTGGTTTTATAAGACGCCTATAATGTCTAAGCATCTTAATAGAATATTTTATACAACATAAGTTTATAGGACCAAACTAGAAAGCATCTTTTCTAAAAGGGTTACAATAGGTTTATAGGACGCTTTTAGGCATTGTAACAAGATTTTTAGGACGTTTTTAAAATAGAGTATCCTATTAGCTATTTTTGTAACACACTTTTTCAAATAATGTCGTATAAAATAGCTAACACAACACTTAATTTTAAAAACGTTCTAAAAACTTGTTAAAACGCCTAAAAACGTCCTATAAGCCTATTGTAATACTTTTAGATAAGACGTTTTTTAGTTTGGTCCTATAAAGTATTTTATTAGGAGCTTAGACATTTCAAGCGTCCTATAAAACCAATTTTTTTTTTGTAGCGATAGTACCTGTGACTATCACTACCAATTTGAAGCCCCTCTTGACATTCTGTAACTGGCCGAGGTTTGGTATCTAATGGTCCAAGTCTAACCGATGTGGGACTCTTAACACTACCGATCTTTTGTACGCTCATTCGCGTATCTTTTCTTCTAGCCTCCTTAGGATCATCACATACTCATAAACCATATATAATGATCATCATTTCTTACAGGTAGCAGTTTATGCTTTACTGAAAGCTGCGATTGAGGTCGAGTTATTTCTTTCTCACAAACGTTGCAACAGTCCCGTATATGAAATGTAAGTATAGGCGGAAGGTCCGTGAAGTTAAATACGAATCAACTATCTGACCATTTATCCGATCTTTAACTAACTTCCCTCAACCTGCTACTTCAGTTTGTCTTCGAAGACATTATTTCTTGGCGAATTCGTAGAAAGCCAATTGAATGCCAAGAACCCCAATTTGGTGCAGTGGTTTAGAAGGGTGGAACTTCCGCGGATTGCAGGATTATTCATTCCGTTATTCAAAAAATGGTCCGTCGAATATGCTGGAAGGTATGCTAACAAAAGTCGGTATGCAGAACAGGACAAGACAGAACAGAAACTTGTCCCACATTTGGTGCGACAATTAGACTAGGACAGGACATGACAGAACAGAAACTTGTCCACATTTGATGTGACAATTAGACTGGGACAGGACATGACTGAGTCAGACAAAAATAACCAAAATACACTACAACAAGATTGGTTTTATAGTACACCTAGATTGTGTAAGCGTCCTAATAAAATACTTTATTGAACTGAGGTTTATAAGACCAAATTATAAAACATTCTATGCACATGCGTAACAATAGGTTTATAAGATGTTTTTAGGCGTGTTAACAAGTTTCTTTAGGACCTTTCTAAAATAAAGTGTCCTATCAGCTATTTTTTTTTATAGGAGACTTTAGAGAAGTGCCCTATAAACTCATCTTTTTATAAGGCACTTGTGTCTATAGGACAACTTTTTCAAACATTGTATAATATAGTCAATATATCACTTTAATTTTAAAAGCATCCTAAAATAACTCGTTAAAACGTTGAAAGTGTCCTATAAACCTATTGTAACACTTTTACGCTTTTAAGCTCTATAAAATAATTTTTTGGGATGCTTCTACATTTTAGGCGTTCTATAAAATCTATTTTGTTGTAGTGATAGGTAAAACAAAAATCAGGAAGATGAACGAAATACGTAAATTACTAAGATACCATGTTAAATTAAAATCTTAAAACCTTCTAAAACTCGTTCACCTGTCTACCTCACTCTTGTCAGTCAAATCCAGTCTCTTCCTGTCCAGTTTTGTCGGTGTACCAAACCCACCCCATATGCACCAGATAGGATGAACCTTAACATAAACTTATTCAGTGGTGTTGCAGGAGTCATCCTTGCTATAAGTTGTTGTACTGCAGTCAGAAAGTTGGGTTCGGGCCGTCTTTCTTGTCCTCGATTTACAGCATGGCTTGACGATGCATTGGTTGAACTTAGGGACTTATCGCGTGACCTTGTATCAGTCGATAAGTTGCATCACTTAGCAATTGAGGCCGGATTCGAAGAAGATTTTCTCTCACATTTTGGTAAAAAGGTTCTGCCGAGTAAGAATATAGAAGACGTGGAATTCTGGATCGGGCTCGTTCAGGAAAAACTTTCTGTAGCGTTTCACAGAGAAAGTGTCATAACAGCTAATCATGCCTTCATTAACAAGGTCCTTCCCATTCTTGTTACCTACTTATAGCTGATAGCTGATAAGTTAGCTGTTGGCTGATAAGCTAGTTGTAATTATGATTTTTTGATATAGATTGAAGAGACTAGTTTAGCCACTCTTGGGATATTTGCATATCTGGGAAGAGAAACAAGACTATATTTATCGGAAATGAATATAAAGGATATCGATGATCAGATTAAGGACTTCCTCAGGTAGATTACGAAATTGGTCGTTCGAACACTTCTAGATTATGAAAATCTTGAACCTTTTGCAGTTACTTGGAGTGCGGCAGCCTGTATATCCATCCCGAATTTAACTCCCTACCAAAGTATCAACTCTTCATCGAGGTTTGTATGACCTTCTGACAGGTTTGAGAATGTCATTGCTTAAGAGAAGAATGTTTAGGGTTGTTTGGTTGGTTTTTCATTAAGTATATACTTGATAAAGTTGTCTGTGTGGATTGTGTGGAGTAATCATGTTTTTATTTTTTCATAGAGAAGGAGCATGTTTTTTAAATTCTGAGGGCAGGTGTGGAAAAAACTTGGCTTTCTACATAAAGATCCCCCTAGAAGCTTACTGAATAAACCACTTTCAATATCAATAAGTCACTACCAAACAGTAGTGTATAGCTGAGGGAATAAGTTTTAAGTCCCATTAAGCTCATTAAGCTGCTAATAAACAAGCGATTAGTTCCATACACAAGAATGCATGTTTAAAAAGAGTTGTGAGGAGGTTATTTAGCTAAATAACCCGAGTGTTGAATTGTGTTGATGTTTATACTGTCGATTTAGGTAGTTATAGATGAAATTGGATGGCTCGACTTTTATGCGCCGCTTAAATGCAAGTTCCAATATGACGGGAGGTCTAGACAACATGCGATACAGGCGGAGAAGGAGATAATTCTTTATACAGTTCTTACGGTTTGCTATGATGTTTTCTCGGGATTTGCTCATTATAGCAGTTCGTCTCAACGACCGTTGGATACTGATTTGCTCTCATTTCTGTTTCGGAGGTAGTATAAGAAACTAGAAATTTATTAGGCGGACTTATCGTAACATGTTTTCTATTTTACGAACTTATATTTTCTATCTAATTTGTAGTCAGACCCTGTTATCTAATTGCCTGGAGGAGTACTGGGCTGCTTATGATAAGTCAGGGTAAGTGGCGGTTTACTTTGTCTGTCCGGATAAAAATGTACTGTTCTTTGCTTCTGAATCTACAGTTTGAAAGACAAAAAATGACCGTTTTACCCCTCACTGAGTTAACAAAATCATAGAGACGAAAGAAATCATCCAAGTTATTTGTTCCAATTTGCAGCGAGTTACTGAAATTTGTGGAACGAGATGACTGTGACTCGTCTATGTTATTGGAAGTTCGGCCAAAGCCAACCGAGTTGATGAAAAGGGGGAGAGTGGACAAGGTATTACATTCTCTTTCTTTGTTTTCCTTATGTAACTGTGGATATCTGGGCCAGTTTACGCGCACTGATCTAATCCACTAGCGGGCGGTCCACAAATGGTCTGGAGTCATCACAAGTGAACTTGCTTTTGCAACTCTATCTCTCAAGAATGCATCTTTGCAGGGCACAAAGTTAGCAGGAATCGACTCTGTAAAGCTCGCGGAGAGGGATTTTGGAGCTGAATCGAAGGCGCTGCATGAACGCGTACTCAGAGAATCTACAAAGAAGCTGATATCCGCTAGTAATGTAAGGCACTAAGCTTGATATTTGATAGTCCTTCTGTCTCAAAATAAGTGTTCACTTTTAAAAGTAAGGGCCTATTCTATTAGCAACTTAATGAGCTTATTAGGACTTGTAGCATTATGAGCTTAATGGGACTTGCAACTTATTCGGCCAGCTATGCATGACTATCTGATAACGGTTTAATGATATAGAAAGTGGCCTATTTATTAAGCTTCTAGGAAACTTTATGCAGAAAGCCAAGTTTTTTCCGTACCCCTCCCAATAAGAAAACACACTTCTTCCTTCTATGAAAAACCTCCCAAACAAAAACCTTCCATTTTATACAAACAAATTAATCCATACCTTGATTATCAGATGGAGAAATTCATTAATTCTGTTATGAAGTGTAAGATTAATATTCAGTTAATTAAACAGTGTAATGATTACGCTTCTCTAAAACTGTCTTTTTCATTGTGGACATTTATTCTGGGACAGAGGACGTACTGCTAGTCATTCTAATAGTCGGTTCCTAATATCGTATATGAACCATCATGCAGGTTATTTTGATGGGTACTCGGTTATTGTTCATAGATGTAGGTGATGCTTTCGGGCTCCTTATGAAGCAATCGCGTGGCAAAAAGATTACAGTTAGAGAAAGAAGGAAGCTTAAACGAACACTTAATGATATCATCACTCTCGTTCCAGTTACAATCTTGATGTTAATTCCGGTACATGTCTACTTCCAAACCGTGTTCTCAACATTCCAACAAAATTGTATTTATAGGATGCTAAATATGTTTAAATATCATAATAGATTGTTTTGTATAACACAACAAGTTGATAGGACGTTTTTGGTACAACACTTTTGAAATAAAATGTCCTATTAGATTTATTAGGGAGACTGACCAAAATAGTCAATCTCTCCAACCAACTTCACTTTTTAGTCACTTTTTCACTTGAATTCCCATTTTAGCAAGAATTTACGCAAATGTCTTATGCATTTGCGTAAACTCGATTAGAAAAGATTTTTTGCTTAAAGATTCAGATTTTTGCATAAAAAAATCCTTCCACATATTTGCAAGGATTTTTTTGTTCTTTTTTTTCTTTCAGAAATCAGTATTTACGCAAATGAGTAAAACATCTAAGTAAAGACAGGTTATTTTGGGAAAAGACTCTGAAAACTGGCTAAAAAGTGAATATGGTTGATGAGATTGGGTATTTCAGTTAATTTCCTGATTTTTGATTTTTTATAGGACACTTTGAACACATCTTTGTATAGGACATTTGTTTTTATAAGATCTTTTCAAATAATGTCATATAAAAAGACTAATAAGACACTTTATTTCAAAGCTATCATATCAACATATGTAACACATTTACATAAGACATATGATTGTTTGGTTCTATAAAATTAAATCTTCATAAATTGGTCTATTAGGACGTTAGACATATTTGGCATCCTATAAATACGATTTTGTTGTACTGTAATCAACAAAACTTTATCGTCCGCTTATGCTACAATCTGTATCCGAGCAGGTTTCGGCTGTAGGGCATGCAGCAATACTAGCTGCAATCAACAAGTACATCCCGGCGTTGGTACATCTTATCAACATCTAATCGTGTTCATCTTATGCTTCCCAATTTCTAGTTTTCTTCCTAACACCGTTGTTCTAATGTGTCCGGTAGATTCCTTCTCCATATTCATCCGAACGGCTTAATTTGGTAAGACAATTTAAGAGGACCAAAAAGATGGAAGTTGAATCATGGGCCATTGAAGATACAAGTCAAATTAGAGATTCTACTAAAGAGGGTGGAGAAGATAACAGCTTTACAGTGGCAATACCATAGATACAAAGAAGATGAAGAATTAAAGATGGTGCTATTGATGCATGCTTGTATGTAAATAAGGGTCTGTTTGTAAATAGCTTAATAAACTTAATGAGACTCGCAACTTATTTGGTCAACTATATGTAACTGTTTGGTAGTGGCTTAATGATATAGAAAGTGGCTTATTAAGTAAGCTTCTAGAGTGGAGTGTTAGAGCATCTCCAACAGCTGTGTTATTAAGTAAACCAACTTGCAAGTCAGAATTGATTCTTCAACTGTACATAAATTCATTTCAAAGAATTGGTGAAACTACATTATAAAGATGAATGAAGGATGTTCAAGCAGCTAAAGTAACAACATCCTCAAGATCCTCGTATTCATCGACAACCATTTCATTCTTAAACAGCAATTTTAGGTACGGAAGTACCCTTGGAAGCACGTGTAAGTCGGCAAAGTTGATGCTCATCATATCGAAAGCAATGCATGTTTTATGCATGTGACCTTCATCAAATACTGGAATTTTAGGGTATCGTTGACTGAAATGCGTAAGGATTATGCGATAAGCTCCTGCGGCATCCCCTACTTCAATGGCTTCTTTCGTCGTGCTGTGATTTCTTGCTATTGCCTCCTCCACCAAAGCATCCTCAAAAGTTGCCTGAAATAGACAACATTCCATGCATCCATTTAGGTTTCGTTTGGCAAACTAATAAGATGCTGGTGGCTGATAAGCTCGCTGATGATCAAATCATGTTTGGCAAAAACTAGCTGATAATGAGCTAGTTGGTGGTAATAAGTTGATATAAACTAATCATGTTTGGTAAAAACTAGTTGATAAAGACAGACGACAATGTAAAATGACCTAAAAGGACATGTTAAAAAAATAGAAAATTATAAGGGCATAATTTGAAAAAAGGTGGAAAGAGCCCCTGAAGCTTATTGAAACGCTACTTGCTAGCTTATGCTAACGAAACAGAGTTATCCTAATAAGTTCAAAAAATAAGCTAGCTTAAAAAGGCCTTGGTCATTCGGTATCAAGAAAAAACATAGTTCAATCGTTTACCTCGTGTATGAGAACCGTTGCTCCTCGAGACGCTTCGACTAATTCCGGACAAGGCCGAGTGTCACCAGAATAAACAATCTTCCACCCGGGTACAATTCTTCTACCGTCACCATGTAATCTATCAACACCTTTCAAAACAACACCAAAAGCTTGTGGGCAATGCACAACCGGAAAACTAATCACCGATTCTAAACCTGCTTCGTTAAGCACATCTGTCAAGTTTTTGATAATCGGGTACGCTAGATTACCGTCCACCGGACTACCCGGCCTTTTCCAATGGCTCTGCATCTGACTTCCTTTAGAAAACAAACTAGAATCAGAAACTTTCGGATTTATGGAATCAATTTTGTTGCCATTCAAGGGTTCGGAATTATCCGACTGATTATAGTTCGACTCAAAAGCCGCTAACGAAGCTTTTGTTGTATGTCTACAATCAAGAAACTGCATATCTAACTCTTCAAGTCTTTCGTACGCATCTAGGAATCTTTTCAGCTGTCTAGGGCCAATAACAACCAATGGTTCGTGTGGGACCCCCTTAAGCAAATCGCGTCTAAGAGCCAGTATTCTTGCTAAACCCGTATGGTGATCGGCATGGATATGTGAAATCCAAATAAATCTTAAACCTTTAACGGCATCATCTGCGCCTTGAATGCCGAATCTGTTAATGGGATCATTAAAAACTAGATGTTAGAAAGAAAGCATAGAAACGTAAAATTTCAAGTAGAAATAGGGGTGTTCATCTAAACTGCATAAACCGCGCTGCATTTCACAGTGCGGTTTTTGCGGTTCGGAAAAATTCTCAAACCGCACCGCGAACACCCCTAAGTAGAAATATCGTTACCTTCTTTTCAGCTGTCCCAATGTTCCTTCTCCACAATCTAATAGTAAACTACCTTTGGAGAAAAGATTGATGAAGACGGAACTAACATTTCGATATTTGGAAGGTTGAGATGAACCCGTTCCTAGAAGGACAATCTCGACATTTTCTCTTGTGATGCCCTCCAAACAGCTAGGAAGATAATTTTGATTTAACCAAGGTTCTTCGATCATGTTTTCATCACTTGCCGCCTCTCTTGCATCTACGTTCTTTTGCCAAAGGCGAGCAACTTGTTGGGCGGCATCCGATATTTCTGGAATCTCGGAAAGAAGCTCTTCGATAATTGCATGGGATGCTGCCGTGGCCGGAATACCAGATCGGTCTAATCCGAGCTGTGCATACGGACGCAAATGGAACTGTTCCAACAGATAAAATCTAATGAAGAACTGCAATATGGGAAGAAACTTGTATTTCTAAAAGGAATTATGGGTTTTTTCCAACAAAAGACTGGAAAATACTTGGACTAAATATGTCAGACAATTGGTGTTCTGTTTGGCAGAACAGAACATAACAAGAATCACTATTCCCTTGGAACAAGGTTGTACAGACCAACATTTTACCAATATAACCTCAAAATAAAACATAATTCTCTTCTAAAACATCATATACGCCTCCCTTTTTTCATTTTATTCATTATTTAAATTCTATTTATTGTATTTTGTGCTCTTTAAACTTTCACTTTACTGTCCTCAAAATATTATTTTTATACAGTTTTCATATTTTGATTAATTTATGTAATTTATTAAATATCAACAATGATAAAATAATATAGAAAAATATAAAATAAAAATTGGAAACTACATAAACTTTTTATTTTGCTGTCATTTTAATCGTCTTGATGAAAACTTTCTAATCATATATTTTGTTATAAAAATATTAATTTTATTATAATTTAATAAATTACACAAATTAATCAAAATATATAAAAGATATAAACAACTCATTGAATGTAAATTAGTCATTTTATCTATTCTGTCATGTCCAGTTCTGTCTTACCAAACGCTGAAGAGACGTTCTCTCTCCTACCTGGATATCAAACACACCCTAACGCGGGACAGAACAGGACAGTTGAGAAACTTGTCACTGGTGAAAATAAAAGCAATGCATGATTCAAACACTTCTGATATAAATCTTGCACCTTGAGAAGATTTTCGGCAGAAATGGTCTCACAAAGCTTTAAACCAGTGCCCTGCAGGCAGATAGAAAAAAAAACTAGCTCAAAGGCGGGTTTAACACGTAAACCGTATGTAATTATGTTCAAATTAATTTGGTGTTCTTTTAGATGTCATAAACTCAAAACTAAGTCTTCCTTTTATAGCAAGGAAAAGGTACCCCTTACACAAGCATTACAAAAGCATAACATAAGCAAGTAATAATTCTATCTAAATGAGGTAAGTGCTTACCTCATTTATGACGGGTGAGGGTGAACACCTCAGTTGTTGAAGAGACCAAAAACCCGGAGCTGGGAAGAACTGAGGACATAAGTAGTTAAGCCGAGCTGCAACTCTTGCACTGGATTGCAGAATCGGTATCTCAATATTCTTCCTGCAGAAGTGACGATGGACCCTTTTTATTAGCCGAGAAGATTTAAGCAATTCAGAAGATGTTTATAAACCACGTGGTAATATCCTATTGGTCAAGAGCTTAACCGACTTAACTGTCGTGTAGTATATATAGATAGGATCTCTTCTGTAACTGAATTATTATCAACATATCTTGTTCTTTATCATTGTAACGGAAATTCTCTGTGCTTAGAGAATTCCTCTCTTTAGAATCTAAACCTTCCTCTGGATTAAAAACAAGGGTTGGGTTCCAGTGAGAAGAGAAGATATGGTGAAAAGCGTAAGAAGAGATCTCCACCCTTGGATAAATCCTAATTGAATGTCAACACCAATGAGGTGCACCGAAATGCACTGGATCAATTCCCTTCTAAAGCACAATTCATAGGTGGGCATGAGATTAAAAGTGATCAAGGGTTCAGATCTCTGCTTATGCTTCTCACCATAACTTCCCTTCTCACACGATCTTTCGCCTTAAAAACAAATTGATAAATGCTTCTTTTATCGAATCTTTAAAAAGGAACGGCAAGTAATGAAACATCAAGATTGTCTTGATGTCAAAATTTGGAATAAGAGACTTACATTTGATGCCCTGCCAGAATATGCTCTGCCCCACCGAATCTTGACATCCATTTTTGATAATCATTGGAGTTTACAACTAATGCCGGACTTAAGTGAATTACACAATTGACGGTTTTGTGATTCTCGTCTGGCATACTAGCCACGTCAGCATAGTAAGTCTCGAGAGACGATGAAGATAACAATTCTTGAAAATGAGATAAAGTAGGGCAATCTACAAGGAGAACAATAGGCCCGGGAACCGATGGTCCAAGGACGTCATCTGGATGAACCTAAATGATACAAGCAAAGCTACATATCAATTGAAAAGAAAACGGGATCTATGATAAAGAAAAACAGTAAGGTGATTAAAAATCTACCATGATATTCTTCGTATCTGATTTCACAGAAACTCCCTCTTGTAATTCTCGATATTTTGGCCCAGGTCTCAATCCAAGTGCTCTGGCCTTTTCAGGGTCAAATTTACCCCTAATCTCGGGCAACTCACAAATATATAAAACGGAAATATCGCTAGACTTTAATGCAAACTCGTCTTTCTTGAGACCATTAGTTTCAGAACTGCTTGGCCGCAACAAAATAGCAGATATTTTGACAACTTCATCATCAATAAGTTTGAGTTGGTCATTAAGCTTTTCAAGATTGTCCAACGGAATCTTATCAGATTTGGGCGATGGACCAAAACATCGTGTATGAACCATGGCTGCATTTGGAATGAAAGATTTCATTGCATCGACTAAATACTTAAAATCTGAGGGCCCCCATACATTTACCTTCAGATATGAACCAAAACCCGTGTTAGCAAATGCACGATTCTTTTGTTAATCTAATACAGCATTTAATAAAGAAAGTAAAACATACCGATATTCCTTCTTCACCAGTGCCAGCCAACGTCAATAGAAGACCTGCGAATCAATTTTCATAATTGAGATATTACAGTTAAATATGATTACTGCACATGAACAAGACTTTTTCTTTTAAACTTCAATGCTTACTTATTGACATTTTCTCAATATATATACATATACACGATCAGGTTCAAAAGAAAACCGCAAAAAAATGAAAAACCGATGAACACCCTAGTAACCGTTCATCTGGACGGTATGCACACAAGTCATTTGTAAGCAATTTGCCCGGTATGCACATGTGCATAACATGCGCACGTGCATAAAAAACAAGAAAAGGCTTCAATTACTTGTATGCACATGTGTATACCATCCAGATGAATGGTTACCAGGGTGTTCCTCAGTTTTTCATTTTTTGGGGGGTTTTCCCCTGAACCTCCCTATATATATATATATATATATATATATATATATATATATATATATATATACATATATATATATATATATGCTAATTTGAAATAAATACCCAAGCTCGTGTATAATAAGCAAACCTGGTAGTCCACCAGCTGTTTCTGAGCAGACACGTGAAAGAAATATGTGATCAATCTAAAACAGAAGCAGCAAATCATTCTCATTACTAAGCAGACACTACCTATAAATGTAGATGAAAATGGGAATCTTCATGATCGCAGTTTTACCTTTGACAACTTAATCTTATGTTCTGTACAAAATCGTTGCAGCCCCTGAAACAAATTATAGATTGAAATTAACAATTCCAGCACTCCAAGACTCTACTCTAGTAGTAAACCTCCAATTACAGTTAATATGGAACAAATTGCTTTATAACAAAAGAAAAGAACCAAGATGGCTCAGTGAAATGTAGAAGACAAGTTGGTCAGCCAGAAAGCCTATCTAGCAACTACGGGGCTGTTTGGTTGGTTTTTCCATTAAGTCCTGTATGGATAAAGCTGTCTGTGTGGATTAATCTGTCTAAATAGATTGGGAAAAAAAATTTGGAAGTGTATTTCATAGTTAGAAGTTGTGTGTTTTTTAATTGGGAGAGGCATGTCTGGATTGAACTTGGGTTTCTGCATAAACCTCCCCTCTAAAAGCTTACTTAGTAAGCCACTTCCCATATCATTAAGCCACTACCAAACAGTCATCTATAGCTGACCAAATAAGCTACGAGTCCCATTAAGCTGCAAAAAAACAGGCCCTAAAGATTCTTGGGAGTTGAATTCTGAGTACCGTGCTTCTTACTGGAGATATAAATTTATCTGATCGCCACTGATACTACAAGAGCATGCTCCAAGACCTAGAGTAGTAGAATTATTTTAACTCCATTCGGCGATAGCAACAACGATCAATGCCTAGTTGCACTAAAGAAATCCTTAAAAAAGAGAAAGCTAGATAACAAGAGAGAAGTATTTGGCAGTTTACCGCTTTATCTTTCACTCACAAGGTGATCCTTACATATTTCTTGACGGATTAGAAAAAGGACTCTCCTTTCTATAACGAGATTCACCCCTCCATAAGCATCTAGATCAGGATTCTTTTGGGCCCTCCAACATTTCTCCTAGCTTCTGCATGCATCTAGAACATTCTACATGATACAGATAGAGCTAGTACATTGTACAATGTAGAAATCTTTACACCATTGTAGCCGACTCCCTGTCTCATGGATGAACTAGCCAAAATCCTAAGTCCCGTTTGGTCTGCAGGATTGGAGGATTTGGAGGGATTTGGAATTGAATTCCACTCCAATCCCATGTTTGGTAGGAAGGATTTTCTGGATTTAAAATCCCACAAACATAGAATTTTGAAATCCTTCTGGGGTGCTTGGTATTTCACAGGATTTAGTAGGATTTTATGTAAATAATGTTTTAAAAAAAATGTTAAAAACATTTGTTTTGTAATAATCAATTAATAAAAATGTAATTTAATTATTTTTATAGCTATTTATCATTTGTTTTTATAAATTATTTATAACGAATGGAATCCAATTCCATTTCAGATCCTACAAACCAAACACACCAAAGATTCCAAACCCAAATCCCTCCAATTCCAAATCCCTCTACGAAATCCAAATCCATTAAAACCATTCCATCAAACTAAAGCCCCCTAACGGTTGGGCACTAGAACAGGAAACACTCAGCATTGATTGATTTAAATGCAATCTATGGCATATTCAAAGCACCTAGGCTTGTGTACATGGCATGTCTATAAAAATGGAAAGTTTGGCAGAAGATTATGGGTAATCTCTTTAGAAAAGAAAATAGTAGCAGCCAAAGACTTTGAGGACATATTTTGTTCAGTTCAAGCCTGCCCATATCGATATGGAATAATATATGATCTATATAACTATAGTTATACATCCTAATCAGCTAAACATTCAAACAATGTAACTGTTTAATGAGGTTCATAAGAATACATCAAAATACTTACTTCTCCAGCATTAAATATAAATCGCTGTTTGTCAAAGAAGAGCAAGACTGACGGCGATGTGTCTTGAGTATCCATACCGGTTCCTAAAACCTGCATAAAAAAATTAGCCCCTTCCTACGTACAAAATCAAATATCTTACAAAAGAACAAAGAATGAAAACCCATCACCCAAATTACCAAACTTACCAGTGTTAAAGAACAACAAAACTAACAGACCAGCATTTACAAGGCTTAAAACAAAAGTAGAGACGAAGTAATGAACTTTATTTATCGAAGCTTAGGGGCATTTACCAAACACTTACCTGGTAAGCATTTAGAGGTAAAATTCAACACTATCACTTACTTACCAGATAAGATTTTAGTCCACCAAAACGGCATTTTATGCAACAATTTACCCGGTAAGCACTAACCATGCTAAGAGTCGTCGCCCTCACTTACCGGGTAAGACTCTTGGTCCTTGCCTCGCTCTTACCGGGTAAGATTCTTGGTCCTTACCATATTCATCCGGTAAGGCATGGTTGTTAAAAAGCCTGCCTGAGGCGCGCCTAGGCTCTAAGGCTCATAACGCTCAAGATCTTGGGTTCTTTTCAAGTCAATGCTCGGCGTATCCACGAGGCTCACTAAGGCCACTGTGCCTCGACTGAGGCGCCTTGTGGGCTTAGGCGCGCCTAATAAAAGAGTTACTAAATACCTAGTTAAACCCTAAGATTAAAAAAGTTTTCTCATCTCCTAGACTTCTTAAAAAAGAGTTATCAAATAGATCATATAAGTCAAACCCTAATATTAATTACTCATTCCGTAGAACTTCAAACCTCCTCTATAAATACCCAGACCTTAAAACTTCTCCTTCACGGCTCATGTTTTAAACCATTCTGCCTCTATCAAAGTTTTGTTGGTTGCTACATTGGAGGCTTGTACTTGTTGCATATTTGAGTTGTCTGTAACTGTGTGTGTGTGTATATATATATATTGATAAGATATGCCTTGCATTGCGCCTAAGTGCGCCTTGAGCCTTTAACAACTTTGCGGTAAGGTAACCAGTAAGCATTCAGTAATCGGCCCCTTGGTTTATCACTTCCACAAAAGAACTGCATCAAGATTCTAGGCTGCTAACTTTATGTCAACCTATTATTTCTAAATTTCACATTTTAAATGTCCTACTGTTACCAATTTGATGCCAACCTTTGATAAGCTACAGCTCCAATCTTTCTTCCCAATAAAAATTTAAAAACCACTTCAACTCTAAAGTTAAAAAGTAGCCATTTTTAACCCAAAGATTCAAAGTTCGGATCTTTTTTTCCCTCTTATAAGGGATATGAAAAGTGAGTTTTGGGAAGATGGATCAAAACTAAAATGGTGTCAAAAACATATACCTGAACATAAGAAATTGTATTAACAGGATTAAGCCTTCTGACTTTTAACTTAAGATCTTTAGGCCTGCTACTCTTATCTCTACCCTCTGCCCTTTTCTTGTTAAACCCAGCAGCCATATCCATCTTCTTGGTTTCTTCCACTTCATCTCCCATCTTCATCGATGATAACCCTCTTTTCTCCCTCATATCACTCTGCTTGCTGTTACTGCTACTGATTCTTCGATTCGAATTAAAAGACTTCGAATTGTATCTGTGTGATTTCCTTGATGATGATGATGATGATGATGACGAAGATGAAAGACAAGTGAAGAAAGGGTAAGAAAAAGAGATGGACTTATTAAGTTTAGTGGGTATTTTGGTGTTGAATTTAAAGAAAGAATTGGGTTTGAAAGAAGAGAGAAAAGAAGAGGGATTAGGGTGGTTTGCAGCGGAGGAGAAAAGGAGGCGAAGGTTTGTTATTTGGGGCATTGTGTTCACTGCCGGAGCCCTAGAAGAGAGGTTTAACCGATCTCTAAAACCCCCAATTATAAAATTCAATCAGCAAAGTTTCTAATGAAGATGAACCGTTTTCATTTAATAAGTAAATATGTGCAATACGATAGCAAGATGCTGGAATAGCTCAGTTGGTTAGAGCGTGTGGCTGTTAACCACAAGGTCGGAGGTTCAAGCCCTCCTTCTAGCGATTTTATTTCTCTTTTTGTTTACTTTTCTTAAATTACGAAATCGTCCCTAGGTTTATGGAAACTCCGGTTTTCGTCTCTAATTTTTTTTTTCGTTTTAAATTAGAAGGAAAGACATTGTATTTTGCAATTTCTGTGGCCCTGACGGTCGTTAGCAACGATGGTTAATTATTCTACGTGCTAGTGAGGGGCATTTTGTCATTTTTCATAAATTTTATCAGATAAATTCCGTAAAAATGTTTAAAGCTTTAGGAGAAACAATTAAAGCATTTGAAAGACAAAACCTAATTTGAATCCTTGTGTGACATCCCTCTCTCGTTCCCTTTTTGGTAACTGCCATCATCGGTCACCTATATCTTCTTCTTCAACGACTGTGTTTGATTCTCATGTAAAAACATACACCTCACATGCGTAGCATGGAAGTTACAGAAACGTGTTGATCAAAACCACTAAGTCCGAGAAAGATGAAGTCGCAAAGAGGGTTGAGGATACTGGTGTGATTAATCAAAACCACAAAGAGAGATGAAGACGTATAGGGAGAAGGCAGGAGGATTTAGAAATCTTGGATATTGGGGTCAGTATTTAAGTGTAAACAATATTTTGAAACCTTATGGGTGTGAAGTGACCCCCTAAGCTAACGAATACATACTGCCCTAGGTTGACGGACTAACTCTTCAGCCGTGATGCGGCAAGTTATGAGGTTAGGATGAGAGAGGGTCACCGTAGAAGGTGGAGAGCGGTCGTTGCAGAATGAGAACAACTCTGTGCCAGAGAAGGGGATGCCACGTTTTGGGGGTAAGGTTAGGTTAGATCTTATTTTTTTTCAAATTGTTTTAATGTGGACGTATGTTTTAAGAACTTGTACATTTTTACAAACTGACACTTAATGACATCTTTTAACGGCACTAACAGCCAAGGACAAAATCCGTAATAAAATACAAACCCTAATGACATTCTTTGTAGTTTCCTAAAGTTAAGGACGAAAACCTAAGTTTCCACAAACCCTAGGGATGATTTATGTAATTTACTCTAGTTTTTTTTTTAAAAAGAGTAAATTACTATGGCTTTGTTAATAATTTTTTATTTTTGTTCATATAGTTTAGAAATTGTTATTTTAGTCTTTATGGTATGCAATTTATTGTTATTTTCGTCTTGTACTAAGTCTTACCTTTAAACATAAGGGATCAAAACAGTAAAAATTCGTAAACCACAGGGAGCAAAACAAAAATAAATTGTAAAATATAAGAATGAAAATAACAATGAATTAGGAACCATAAGGACAAAAACTACAGTTTCTGAACTACAAGAACGAAAATCACAATTTTTGACAAACCACATAGACTCTCGAAAAAATGGACATCACTTTTCAAATTCCCATTATGCCCTCCCTCATGCATGTATTTAAAGTAATTACAAGGGTAAAAATGGTAAAGCAAAAAAAAAAAATACTCAGATCTAACCAGAAAAAACTACCACTAGAATACTAGATGCATCCCCTCCCCATATCAGCAACAGCAGATAAGATTCATCACGTCCACACACTCAAAACCTCCAATGGTGGATGCATAGCAATAGCAATCAGTCATCCTGGGTTGGGTTAGCCACAAAATGGCCATTCTATGAACCCAAGGCTTCAAAACCCATCATCTTTCTAGTCTTAGCCACCTGCACTTAGCCCCCCAAAAATGGGCATGAATGCTTATGGCATATCTTCATTTTCACACTCTTCCTGTTACAATTTCAACACCACCATTACCACCACTTTCACCACCCAAAAACCCTCCACCAAATGCCTCACTTACCCTCGATCCCGAATTCGAGCCACCATGACCACTGGTCAATCCGAAGCCGCACCATCTGATCAAGAACCACCTTGCATCAATTTCGCTTTCGTGAGTGTAAGTCATCAATCTTAACTTAACATCGTTTCAATCGACACTGCACACTGTAGATTAAACGTTTGTATCGAATGGCATGCAGTCGGTGCTGCTACCGGATGGAACGCCCGACGTACATTTTAGAAACGCGAGTGGCGGACAAAAACTTAGGGACATTATGCTTGATACTAATATCGAGTTATATGGACCATATGTAATGCTATCTACTTTCCATCCCACATATTCATTTGTGAATCTTTCTAATTATACATATTCGATAACCGATAACGTAGTTTTTTTATTTATGGTAATTCAGTCTAGACCTTTGTTAAACTGTGCTGGAGGAGGAACCTGTGGCACTTGCATGGTGGAGGTAGTTAGTTGATTAAAGACAGTTTTTAAAGCGATTAATTGCGTCGGTTTAGTGTTTAATTTCGAGTATAATCATAGGTTATCGAGGGGAAAGAGTTGCTTAATCCACGAACGGATAAAGAGAAGGAGAAGCTCAATCGGGTATGACAAATTAATTTACCCCATTGATCAAGATCGGTTCACGAAGAAATTATAACTTGTAGCTTAATCTTCATCCAAAAATCAGTAAAACTAGAACGTAAACAAAGATTATTCATTATGAATAGTTTATGAAATAGTTGGTTTCCAAGTTCTAAATTTATCTATGATTCTTACAGAATCCCAAGAACTGGAGGCTCGCTTGTCAGACAACCGTGGGGAAACCGGATTCCAGAGGCTTGGTTAGCACTAGTCAATATACGTAGATGCACTTTTGTTTGTAGAGTTGGGTTTTCATGAGACCAGATGTGAAGCCATAAAAACACACAGAACTTTAACAGCAAAATTACTGTGAGGGTACAGTTTTTTGTACTTTCACAGTGTTTTACCGAAAAAATTCAGTGTTAATTTTTGATGATCTCACGAAAGGAGACTGGTCTCTTTTAACTGAAACTTGATTGTTGCAAATGCAGGTTGTGATCCAGCAATTACCAGAATGGAAAGGGCATGAATGGACACTTGGAAGGGAACCCCCACCAGAATCTTGATTTCTTTTCTTATTTTCTTGATTTTGTTATCTTGTAAATGATGAGAATGGTTATGATCTTATTACATTCTTAAATGCTACAGAATCAGTCCATGTAGTACTCAAAAGTTTCTTCTAGAAACTAGTGGAAGTTTGTTTACTACAACTACTTCTGGGTTTTATACAAAAGAATTGTGGAAGGTTTTACGTTTTAGGGTTTTAACCTGATATAGGTAGTTTAGTAATTTATCAATCTTGTTAATTTTTGTTCCACCTATTTTGGTGGGATAAAGAAGTGCATTTTTGCCCCAATCTGATTTAGTTTAATATAACGTCAAACATGAAATAATAAATCTTTGTTATGCCAATCTCATATACCAAACGGGTTTTTAAAAAAGATGATTTTTTACATTGGTATTTTCAAACTTGACCGGGCTGTCGTTCTAAGGCCCGGTCCCAATTATGATTGGTCTCAATGTTCAAAGGCAAGCCCAATTAGAATCAGCCGTTCCAACCAATCCTAACCTGTAGGGTGTAACCCAATCCGAAATAACCAACTCAATCCAATTGATACCTAATCGAGTTGTAAATTGTACATAGATATATATTGATTTGAAATTGGGTTTGGTCATTTAAACCCAACCCAACGTGATGAAACCTATGTCTTTTTACATCATGGATTTAATATGATTGTTAAGTACGTAAGTCCTTAATTAATATATGTGCATTAGGCTTTAAACAAACCTGTAATTAGCTCTGTTCATAATTATATCACAATTTCAACCGTTTAAACACAATTAGCTCTATTCTCTTATGTAACTGGTAGCCTTATTTGTAAGTTCTTAACTGATTTTACTTCGTTTAAACACAAATGCTTAGTTAGATTATAATATGATGTATCAAAGTTTCAATCTAACCAACTCAACCCAACCCAAAACCTACATAGTTTGGGTTGAATTGGGTTGAAAATTTTCAAACCGTCAACATTGAGTTGAGTTGAGTTGTTCAAATGTCTTGAATTTGGCCAACCCAACCCGTCTACAGTCCTACTAACCAAAACGGTTTTTATACGATTTTAAGCATTGTGTTTGATAAAAACTTTTATAAATATTATTTTGGGTAATATTTATTCATCTCATTTGTTTAATAACTAATTATAACACATTTTTATTCAAGTGAAAAAATACACTAACTATTGCAAACAATGCAACATAAAAATAGTTTCAGAAATTAAAAGTGTAAAAAAAAAATTAATGAATACATTATTATGTACGAGACTGTTTGGTAGTTGTTGAATGGTTAAGTGATCAAAATAATTAAAAGACTCATGATATAGTGCAAAATGAAGTATACTTGTTTGGTAATTGTTTATAATGAAATTAGGGCGTTGAATGGTTAAGGGAGACGCATGATACAAAATTATTCAGAGGGTTTTAGTTATATTAAGAGGCAGACTTTTTTCTGCTAAATAAGATTCATCTCTTAACGATTCAGATAATGTCTTTTAATGAAACTATTAAGAGATAAACAAACAACCCCTAAACCAGTCCTAACATCAGGTAAGTGGGCCTTGGTCCCAATCCGGCTCGTCTCGTGTTCTTGTTTGTAACATGACTTTGATGTAAAGAAGCGTGCTTATTAGGGATGGAGTCGATATTGCTCTCGAGTCTGGCCCATTTGTGCATTTCTAGGACCCGCGTCTGGAAAATATATGCGTAAAAAAATTATTACTCTAATATTACCATTTAAAAAATAGAATTAAATTCAAACTCTAATATAAAATCTTAAATTTGTCACTGCTACAGCCATTGCTTTGGCTGGCTTAATTACCACAACTCACAAATACAATGGTTTCTCTCCTAATCCATCCCAATTAGAACAGGGTTTACGACTACGCATGATACGACGACAACCGAACCTATTACAATCAAATTTTTATCGAATTTGAAATCAATTATCAACAGGGATGTTACAATCTTTTTGGAGGCTCTGTTACACATAAAACTTTGATTATACTGTAAAATAAGACAATAAAGATACATAATTACATATTAGCTTTACATTCGTTTTATGAAAGGCCCTGAACAATGTGAAATTAGCTCCAAAGTTTTAAGAACTCTGTTCAAAATCAGACATTTAACATGTTAAAAACGATTCTAAACATCAGATCAGATATAAACTTGACTTATATATCTTTTTATATCAAACAAAATCAAATGAAATCAAGGTGGGCCACCCACCAGAACATATCCACATGCATTGATTGACCCAAATAGGCCCACCCGCCCACCCACCCACCATATTCTGTTTTATTTGAACTTGTCGAAGACAACAACCCAAAAAAAGGCCAACCAATTACAAACGTAAGTGGGCCCTCTTTAGATATCAAATTTACAATTCTAGCAATTTAACGATGACTTATCTGATCAGTTATATATGAATGTTTTGTAATAGCTTAATGATATATATATGTATTGACTTATTCAATAAGTTTTTAAGGAGAGTTTATACAGAAAGTTAAGTTTTTTCCAAACCCGACTTTACAAGTTAAAGAAACGTTCATTCGTCTATGAAAACCTTGTTAATCTATTCAAATAGTTTAATCCACACAGACATTTTTATCCATACAAGATTTAATGAAAAACCAATCAAATAACAACTTACAAAAGAAAACAAATTTGGATGAATTACTTGTAATTAATAATAACAAATAAATAAAGAAAAACAATTAAATTGTTTTTCTTCTTATTTTTACAATTGAAAAAACCTAGAAATGCATTCAATCACACAAGAACAATGAAAACTTAGTAGTCGTTGGTGAGAGGAATATGTTCGCTGGAAATGAAAACGTGTGGGTAAATGGCTCCGGCTAAACCACCACCGATGAGGGGTCCAACCCAGTAGATCCAGTGTCCGGCAAAGTTACCACTGGCAACAGCAGGTCCAAAAGATCGAGCTGGGTTCATTGATCCACCTGAGAATGGGCCTGCGGCCAAGATGTTGGCACCCACAATGAAACCAATTGCAATTGGGGCAATTGTTCCCAATGCACCCTTCTTTGGGTCACATGCTGTGGCGTATACTGTGTATACTAACGCAAATGTGATGATGATTTCCATAACCACCCCTTGAAGCGCTCCCACGCCTACTGCAACACCGTGTATTGGGACAGCCTGCAATAAAATTCCAAAAAAAACACTAGTTAGAATTTAAATAAATTTTGAAGGTTAGATTTAAGGGAAAATCGTAAAAAAAAAATGAAAAACTGAAGAATAATGAATACTCCGGTAACTGATCATCTGGAAGGTATGCACGTGCAAATACAAGTAATTTGTAAGCAATTTTTTCGGTATACACATGTACGTAACATGCACATGTGCATAAAAACCAAGAAACAACTTCAATCACTTGTATGCACATGTACAAATCGTCAAGATGAATGGTTACCAGAGTACTCCTCAATTTTTCGTTTTTAGGTTTTTCCCTAAACCTCCCTCTAATCTCCAAAAATGCAATTGTATAGTTTAGCCCCTAGACTATAGGTGGATCTACAATCATGAGTCAGGGTCAATTGACCCTACAAATTTTCATAGAGTCATCTGTTTACTATATATTTTATTTTTTATAAATATATTTCTTCTTTTGCCTCCCAAAAAATTATAAATTTAAATTCCTACCCCCAGTACCAAAATTAATGAATCCGCTATTGCTTTTGACTATGCTTACCAAGCCTCCGGTGACGAAACTGAGAAGGAAGCATGCGACCACAGCGCCAAGGAGTTGGGCAATCCAGTAAAAGAGGCCAGTAAGGAAGGTGATCTGGCCACCAACAGCCAACCCAAAGGTGACAGCTGGATTCACGTGGCCGCCAGAGATGTTAGCGGCAATGGATACAGCCACAAAAAGGGCTAATCCATGGCAAACTGCAATAGCTACTAGACCAGCCGGATCGAGGTCAGCATCAGCCGTTAATTTAGCTGCCACAAACCAAACAATACAATCAATTTAACATTATCCAATCACCCAACCTTGTTATATCATGAGTTCCATTTACTGTATATAAATATCATGTACTTAAAAAACACAGCAAACAATGAATACAACTTTTAACTTTGAACATACCATACGCGATGGCAGAGCCGACACCAGCGAAGACAAAGAGCAGGGTGGAGATAAACTCGGCAATGTATGCCTTGATAGAGGTAACGCTGAAGGAATCATTAAAATTACCGATAGCGATTCCAGGCATTTTTCTAGACGAGTAAAAGCCTATATATGAAAGATCGAAATAGAGGAGGATATTGACTGGGGTGCACTACATAAGACACTAAAGAGCCTTTATATACTAAAATTTCTTTAGATAATAATGATGTCCAAGGATATATCCAAAATATCTTTTATTCATTTAAAATGGGAATTTCAATTTCTATGCTCCGACACACGTTGTCTTTTTTTAATATGTTTTAATACGTGTTAAAGTTTGATAATCTGATCTAATTTCTAATTTATAAGAGGTGGTGTTGAAATCTGAAATCTAAATCAGTCATACTGTTTGTTTTTACGTCTGAAGTCTGAAATCTGAATCAATAAAACTATTTGTTTTTGTAAACTGACAAACGTCTAAAGTCTAAAAAGAAAAACGTCTTACCAATTCAGACTTAAGAGATATTAAAGGTTTTTTTTTTCAAAAAACAAATAAGCCCTAATTCTTTTCATGTATTATTTTTCTCTATTCCAATAACAATATATCCAATAATTTCTAAGAAAATATTAAGTTTTAAATACAATAATAAATTAATTTGTATTTACAGTATTTTCTAGACTGGATATATTACTGTTTTCGTTCTTTTTTCTTGTTTATGTGTTTGCATGTCTTTCTAGGTTTTTTGTATTGAACCAGATCTTAAAATTTTAATTTTGTAACATTTAGATCTAAATAAACAGTTAACTTAAATAAACTATCTCAATCTGAGTTATGATTCAAAAATTATGATATCTTGAAGTTTAATCAGCGTTTGCTATATGTTATCAATCATATTCGTTGTGAAATTTCGGGATCCAATAAGTTTTTAACTTATAACTCGAATCAAGATTTTATCTGGATAACTTTTAACTCGTACATCGAATCGAGATGAATTTTTTTAAGACTCATATTTTTTAATATCTAAATGTTGGAATCATGTTCATATAACATGTTTTAATCATATTCATAGTAAACTTCGAGATTTCATAACTTTATCGTGTAACTCGAATCAAGATGATATTTTTTAGTCTAAATGATGAATTTTTTCGGAAATCCTGATAGAAATAGAAAATTTAAAATGAACGAACACAAAAACAAAAAATTGAAAATTTTCCACAAAGACAATATTTGATCTACTTAAAATAACAATATAAACTCAACGCTTAATATTATTGAACATTTGTGACTATAAGAAGATTTTTATTCCTTCTTGAATTTGAACATGAGATTTTCAGATACTTTTGATCTTTGGAGCCCAAGCTTAAACCAATCAGACACCACCCTTGCAGTTACATGTGATACGGCATAGAATTGAAAATTTCTTTTAAACTATATCTAATACTTAATTTAACACATAATTTAATAATAATGCTTAGATTATTAACCAAATATTTTCAATTTTTTTTTAAATTAAAATCACATATTTATCTTTTCCAATTTTGTTTTATTATTTGACTTGTTCACGAGTTTCATCTATCTTATCAAATATACAATTATAATAGAAATAATGTCATCGTCAATTATTATTTTATATATTATATACACCTACGATGTTCGAAGTATAAGTTATCGCCTATGAAATAATGAGCCGCCATCAGATTCAAATTAAATAGTATATAAAAAATATATTCTAAAACGATTCTCGAAATTTCAAAATTAAATTACACACCTGTCTGTGACGAGGTGATGGGAACGACATTAATTTCCAGTGAACGATATACAAAAATTTACATTGCATACCGAAAATCATTAATCACCCGCATATCAATGAATAATATTATGACTTGTGATCGAAGGTGTAATGTCGACATATTTTTATGACGGTATTAAATAAGTTTTTAATAGTCATATAATTATTGATATTTTAACTTTTTAAGCATTGGATTCGACGAATATTTAACAAAATTCCCTTGTGGCCATTAAGGTTCAAATGCGGTGACTTCGAACTGTCCGTAAAATATGTGGTTGTCCTGGAATTAGTCGACTCACATAACGGGTTAAATACCAACTTTATTTAAATAGATGTTGAAAACAGAAACAAAAAAGATTATTGGAATTTTGTATTTTTATAGAAATGATTGGTTGATGAACCGACCAAATGTGTAAAATAGGTGTCATTCATTGCCATTGGTGATTGGCCGCCTGATGATGACGTGGAAGGATAGCAACCACTTCCTGCTCTCCACCTCTTATCCAATTCTATAATTCTATTTTTTTTTATTTTTAATTATATATAAACACTCTGATAATCATTCATTTAGATGATATATAATTGTATATACAGGTAATTTGTAAACAATTTATTCGGTGTGCATATGTGCATAACATACACACGTTAGAAACCAAGAAATGACTTCAATTACTTGTGTGTCGATGTGCATATCGTACTAATGAATGGTTGCATGACATGTATGTGTAATCTCACTGGTTTTTTTGATGAAACGGATACCTTCATATGCCTTCACACATTACAGAGGATACCTTAACATATATTATATGAAAGATACAGTTTTTTATATGAACTTAACACACACAAACACTCGCAATACACACATACTCTCTCTTTTTCTCTAACATGATAATTTATGTTAATGCAGTTAATACGTGACTGAATGACGAGATTGTCCCTGTCTTAACAAAATACCATGCATATTAGTGATGTTAGATCGAAACCCCCACACGCTCCCAATCTACAGCTGCAAGATGTTAGATCACCATAACTCTTATTCTCACACAACCTCGTGTATATATACATATATATATACATATATACATATATATATATACATATATATATATATATATACATATATATATATATGTGTGTGTGTGTGTGTATAAACAAAAAGAAGACTTCGAGTTTTGAATGCGACAAGTACAGTTGAGATATTTAAGGTGTAATTGGGATGTAGATGTCACATTTAATCATCTTTACACTCTTTTAGACTTTTGACAAAAGAACATGGTTTTTTAATAAAATAAGTTGAATTGGATGGATAAAAACCGCACCATCTACCAAGTATTCACGATTGATGACGTTATAAACCAGACGTTGCTGTATGAATCCTTATTTAAATCAGAATCAGATCAAATCATGCATTAAAAATACAAAAGTTATGTCTTGATGTTGATGTGTATGAGAAGAAAATTAATAGGTAGGGTGCATTTAGCCTACTGCTATAAACCCTCTATTCAAAAATACACTTATTTTAAACCACACGATCTACCGACCGTGTTTTAATAAATCAAGGGTCCAAACATCATCAAACATGAATAGTTTACTTAAATATATTTGTCTTATATAATAACTACGCTATTTGAAAGATAAAAACAACCCCGTTAATCAAAATTATGAACGACTAAATTGCCTTTTTTTCAAATAATACGTAACGAAACGAAAACGTGTCATTTAATTAAACAAATGCGACAAATCATAAAAATTAACGCTCACAGCTGTCGTGGGGTACATAAATAAAAGAAAGATGAGAAGTATAACTCAAGCAAACGACCAGTAAACGATATTATCAAAAAATTATATCATTTAAGAGCTGCATAGAATTTATTATTATCAGTATTATTTACTTGAAAAATCGATAAAATTTGAGTACTGCTTATAAAGTAAAACACGAATCAAAGTCTTCAGAACATGTTGTTAAAGATAGTGAAATATTGTTTTCATTAATAGCATTTAACAAACCTGACAACCATATATAATGTTTAAATATAATATGACATAAATTTATGTTTAAATTCATTTAGAAAAACATATTACTAATAGATAATTTTTTAAATAAAAGTATTATATTTTTTAAGTAGGTGAAAATTAAAATTAAATAATTAGAGGTAATATAATAAAAATTAGGTAGGAATATCCAGCAAGTATATTCTAGATTATGTTGAAAAAACCCAAGTATGGGGTCACATTCAAATACCTTGCCTTTTTGCTTTTTGTCATGTTCTGGATATCTTTTAGAGAAAATTACAAACTCACCCCTATGTTTTACAAGAACTCTGGTTCTTCCCTGTGGTTTGCATTTTGTTTCGGTTTGGGTTTTTGGGTCTAACTGTTGTTGGTTGCTAAGAGAAAGACGTTGAATTTCGTAACGTGACTAGCATGTGAAGGGTATTTTGGTCATTTTCATTATATTTAAAGAAAGTTAATGTACAAATGGCTTAAGCTAAGGTACAATTTTTCATGTTAGAATATCTATGAAATGAGAAAAACCAAAAAAACAGTTGAAGGAAAAGGAAACCAGAAGGTTCAATCGTATCTGTTGTCCTTTTCTCTCATTTTGGTTATGCAACCCAAACAAGATGTTCAAATCGAACCCCCTCTACTGTTGCTCGTATCCAGAGGAAGAACTGAATTTGTATCATTGCTCCATCTTCGTGTTTTGGTTGATGAAGATGCAGAATTCATCGAATGAAAGAAGATGTTATTAAAGATGAAGACGCAGAGGTTTTGATTCAACTATTTTGATGAACGCTTTTGTTTAAACAAGCAACAGAGGTTTAGGGTTTTGATTATGAATGAATTCTAAGTTGTGTTATTTGGTCCTTTTTTTACTGAGAAAAGTGAGGGAGTTTTGTAAACTTCTATGAATTTTCTTAAAAGTTTCAAAAACCTGTACAATAAAATTTATTTATAAATATAGTGGAAAATGACCAAAAACTCTCACAAGTTAGTCATATGAGGGGACTTAACGTCTTCTCTTAATGGCCCGTTAGATTAGACCCAGGGCCCAAACCAATGGGAAATACAACCACAGCAGTATAGATGTATTTATATACGACAAATGCAACAAATAAACTTACACACCCTCCTCACTTTTGGTGAAGTTTGAACCTTTGACCTCCTTGGAGGTCGGAGACTAAGATATTGCTAGGCCAAAGGCCCTTTGATAAAATCAATTCTCTCTTAACCACTTAAATTTGAAGAGTTCTCCATGAAGATTTTTATATCCTCTCCATTTTGGAGGATTTGTAGGAGAAAGAAATAGGTTAATAAAATATCCATTTTCTATGTTCTAAAGAATCTATTAGAGATACTTTCATGCGTTTAAAACGGATATCGTTTTTATTTCAAACAATGGCTACGTTACAACACGAAAACTAAAAATTCCCATAACCTATAAGATGCTGTCTGTAATAAGATTACTAGGCGAATGATTTTCATTCCCTTCGTTTTAATGACGATTCAAAACATCCAACATAACATTAAAACATCATTCCCTTTGTTTTAACGACAATTCAAAACATCCCACATAGCATTTTGACATGTTTTCACCATAGGTTATAGTTAAAAACCAAAACAAATGAACCAAGCATAAGTTACTACAAGAAATGTGACAAATTCGATATAAAATCAGTTCAATAGCATCTCATCCTTAGTATGATTTCAACTAAACCTCAATGCGAAATGGTCCAACATCTTGAAAGATGCAAGGTGCAGAAGCAGCATGGATTGTCAAGTAGTGTAGTCGCGATTTCTGAATGCATCAGCTGTCACCACAACAAAGATTTCATTATCAACTCCATGAACGAGACTACTTATACCAAAGGGCCATTGGCCTAGCGACACCCATATTACTGATAGAGCCTAGTCTTCCAGGAGGTCAAGGTTCAAACCTCATCAAAAGTGATGACTGTGTGCGAGTATTTGTCGTATATAAATGTTAGAATCTGTTTGTTAACAACTTAATGAGCTTAATAGGACTTGCATCTTATTCGGTCAACTATACATGACTCTTTGGTAGTGGCTTAGTGATATAAAAAGTGGCTTATTTCAGTAAGCTATTGGAATGCAGAAAGCCAAGTTTTTTTCCAAACATGTCTCTCTCAATTAAAAAAACATGCTCCTTCCATCTATGAAAAACCATCCCAAATAAAAACCTTCTCAACCTATAAAGACATGCTAATTCACACAGACAACTTTATCCATATAGGTCATGACTTAATTGAAAAACCAACCAAACAACCCCTTAATATACTTAAAAAGGACTACTTATTTTAGAAGCTAGAAAAGTAAGATACCTGTACTTCGGCATTGAGCAGCAATGCTCATAATGTCAGGAGAAAGCCAAAGAAATGAATTAATAAGATCCGCATAATATCTTGATATATAGGTACTCCATGTTACTAACTTCACGAATCCCTTAAGGGGAGGAACAAGGATTTCTCTATATCTTTTAGGAATTACTAAGATCTGCATTACAGCATGAAAACCAAAAGTGTGAGTATAAAAGCCATACATACATACATACATACATATATTAATACATAGTGGGAGGTTTCAAATAAGAAGACTAAGGGGCCGTTTACTAAACGCTTACCGAGCAATTTTCTTCACCGGATTAACATAGCAAGGGCCAAGAATCTTACCTGGTAAGAGCGATGATTATGATGGAGAGTCTTACCTGATAAGTGAGGATGATGATTCTTACCCGGGTAAGTGCTTACCGGGTAAATTGTTGCATAGGATACCGTTTTGATGTACTACAATCTTATCCGATAAAAATAAATTAAAATGTTGATTCCTACTGGTAAGCACTTATCGAGTAAGCATTTGGGTAAACGGCCCCTAAATATGGTTTGATATGGGGGTTCTTTTCACCCTTCCCTCACGGTACTACTTTGCTATCGGTCACCCAGGAGTATTTAGCCTTGCAAGGTGGTCCTTGCTGATTCACACGGGATTCCATGTGCCCCATGCTACTCGGGTCAGAGCGTAAGCTAGTGATGCTTTCGGAGCCTTCTTTTTTCTTCTCATCGGAGTTATTTCACAAAGACTTGTCATGGTAAGGAAGAAGGGGGGAACAGGTACACTAGAGCGCAGTACAACGGAGAGTTGTATGCTGCGTTCGGGAAGGATGAATCGCTCCCGAAAAAGAATCTAAGTAAGAAGGGAAGGTTCACATGTAAATCATTTAAAAAATCAATTCGAAGATGCATATGTGAACCCATATGAACAATCTCTAACATTGGATCACATATGCATCCTCAAATATATCTTTTCAAAAAAAAATTCAATGATTCATATATAAACCTTCCCTTCCTACCTTCTCGCGATATTTAGCATTCTTATTTGGACCGCCCCAATATATGTCTAAATAAATAAATAAACATATATATATATATATATATATATATAGAGAGAGAGAGAGAGAGAGAGATAGAACCATGAGAACAGGTACATATATTGATGCAAATACACTATATGCATTTCATTGAATATATACATCAATGCATATATGCTTGCATATATAATACATATACATTGAATCACTGAAAATGAAAAACTGAGGAACACCCTCATAATCATTCATCTATACGATATGCACATATGCATAAAGTAATTGAAGATGTTTCCTGATTTTATTGCACGTGTGCATGTTTTGCACATGTGCATACCAAACAAATTACTTGAATGTACATGTGTAAAATATAAAGATGAATGGTTAGTAGGGTGTTCCTCAGTTTTTCATTTTTTTTGCAGTTTTACCCTTAACATAACCCTAAATATACAAGCCATCATATACATACGATAAGTGTATATGCATCAACGCATAGGGTTAGGTTCCGATGAGAAAGGAAGTTATGGTGAGAAACGTAACAAGAGATCTCCACCATCGGATCAATCCTAATTGAATGTCAACACTAATGAGGTGCATCGAGATGCACAAGATCAATTCCCTTCTAAAGTGCAATTCATGGGTGGGTAGTGATCAAGGATTCAAATCTCTTCTTATGTTTCTCATGATAACTTTCCTTCTCACACGATCCTTCGCCTCAATGCTTATGTATATACACACACACACATATATACCGGTTCTTATGGTTCTCATTTGAACTTCCCTAATATTAGATATATAAAACATAAGCATAAATAAACAAAATCACATTTTCCAACCATACCTTGTCCGAATCAGTGATGAACACCACCAAGTTAGCATGATTCAGATCTCCAAGCATTTCAATCAATCTACCATACCATAATTCATCATGCTTTTGGTTCCAATCAGAGTATATCTCAATTCTAGCTACTTCGAGATAGGGCATGTTCAAGTCTAAAAAGGGAACTATCCGACTGCCACTATATTCGAAAAAATGTAGGTTCGGGCAATCAATGGTGACATCCACAGGCCTTTTGAATCTCAATAATGATAAATGATCAAGAGAATTACTCGAGATGTTTATATGACCCTTCATATCACAGCCAAAAAGGGTCAAGGCCTGAAGAACTGGAAAACTTGAGTTGCAGTCAGCAAACATCATGTTGTCCATGGCAACCCCACCTAAAGTCACAAACCTCAGTTGTTTGCAAATACCGAGCTCAATTCTGCAAGGGTCGAACCGATATCCAACGAACTCAAAATATTCAAGATGTGGTGTGGTCAGGTCTAGGTTCTTGAGGCTTCCACAATACAACTTAATAATTTTCAGCTTGTAGTTAACCAGTCTCAGTTTTTTCATTCCCGAGTAATATTCTAGACTAAGATCCTCTACCGAGGGGAAGACATCCACCAAACTCTTTGAAAATTTCTGTTCATCTAATCTGACCCCCTTCAGAAAGAGCTTCTTCTGAGATTGAGCATAAAGTCGGTTCCATTTTCTTGAAAGAAACTGAAGCTGATCCTTGTCTGTAGAGGGAAGAAACGATATGATATGGTGCAATACATTTTCAGGCAATCTGGAGATGGTATCCTGAGGATCAAGTATCCCATGTTTACCGTTCCAGATTCTGTCCCAAGAACGTTTCTCTCCTCTTCGTCCCATCTTGATACTTAGCAGCAAAAATGTCAAATATCCCCTGTACATACAGTAAGATCCATAAACCATTGCTTGTGTATCTGGATCCAATATTGACTACCAGGAGGTAAAACTTGTTTTTGGTTTTTTGAAAAATCAGGAAATATGAAATAAGAAGCGGGGTAAATCTGTTTTGATTCTATTTCCATGTCATGTACCATTTTTAGAATAACTTAGGGATTTTTTGGTTGGCTTTTCACTAAGTCATGCATGGATAAAGCTGACTGTGTGGATTAATCTGTTTGTATAGATTGAGAAGGTTTTTGTTTGGGAGACCTTTTTCCCTAGATGAAAGGAGGGTGTTTTTAACTTGGAGGGGAATGTTTGGAAAAAACTTGGCTTTCTACATAAAGCTCTCCCTATAAGCTTACAGAATAAGCCACTTTTTATATCATTAAGCCACTACCAAACAGTCATATATAGTTGAGCGAATAAGATACGAGTCCTATTAAGCTTATTAAGTTGCTAACAAACAGACCCTTAGTCGGTCACTACATGTGAAAAAGAATCTTGATTTCGATGAATCAAAAAACCAATCACCATGAACAGCATGGAAGATGAGCATCCAAAAGACAAAACCATTTGGGTAAGTCGTAAAACTGTTCACTAACTAAGAAGACTTCATACAGGAGGAGATAAAATCACACTGTTTCAATCAAATTCTAGGATAGGTCAGTTATTTCAGTCACAACTCGGCAGTTAAATAGTCAAAGATTGGCTCTTCATCCATTCTCCATTATTACTTTTCCTTCTGTGAACAACAAATCATATCTCAATCTTTCTGTTTCATTTCAGTTTAAACATTTTTCACACATAAGCCATATTATAATTAGTGGATGTCAATCTCATATTCTCATTTCCCACTTGTGTAAAACAATTGGAAGTTGTGGTTTTTCTATATTGCCTTCTTTTGCTACTTCAATCTTGCATAAGAATGTTGCTTCTTACAGAAATAGAAGTTATTAATGAATTATAGATTGCAAGACTAAATAAGCAAATTAAAAACTAGATGCCCAAGAACATATATATCAAATAAAAAATCCACAAAAAATTGAAACAAAAAAAAAATTATCGACCTAACAAGATCACAACTTCATGCCAACTTCAAGACTGTGTACAACTAGCATGATCAAATCTGATATTGAATTCAGAAATTAGGAATTTTTTTTAAATAGAAAATTGGGATTTTTCTTTGAATTTGGAAATTGGGATTTTGAGGGAAGAATTTGCATTTCCCTTGCTCAAGTCAAGAAAGAAATATAGAAGCAAACGGGAATCGCTTGCTTTTTATCATGAATACTTGAAAAAACATGCATTGAAATCATAACACAAACCAATTACCAAATGGGACATAGATTGAGAATTTATGATGATTCAAGTCTAATACATACCAATCACAAATTGAACATCATGCATTGAAATTAATAAACACAAATCAATTACAAAATACCAAATGGGGCATAGATTGAGAATTTATGATGATTCAAGTCTAACACATACCAATCACCAATTGAACATCATGAATTGAAATCAATTACCAATTACCAATTACCAAATAGGGCATAGATCGAGAATTTACGGGACTAGAATTTTACTCTGAGAATTGATCTTTGTTTGTTGATTTGCCAACAATTATCTGAATGCCACTTTTCGATCTTCCCCAACTTGCCTAGAAAATGTTCCCTCCAAACTCAACTCCTATGGGTTTAATAAAAACTCATCCAAATCCAGCTTCTTGGCTTCACTAGATTTACTCAAAAGATCTCCCGTCTAAACTCATCCAAGTGCTTTGATGAAAACACTCATCCAAACTCTTGCGTTTCCCCAATTTACTTTGAAACCTTTCCTCTAAACTCCACTCTAGGGTTTTTAGAAGTGGCGGCGCTTTTTAGGAAAATCTAAAGAATAGTTTAAATTTATAGGTGCAGAACATAATGACCCGGAAACCTTCAAAACACAGTCACTAGAACCACGACCCGAATTCAGATCCGAATCAAAACCCAAATCACAAACACCATTTAGTGATAATATAACCTAACGCATGAACAACAAAATCACATCAAATGTTACTGATTTTTCTTGTCGATGGCTGAAAGAAATCAATAACTTAAAATCTATTTCATTATATCATTCCTTTCTGTCATCATGCAATAAATAATCTACATTCTTGGGCTAATTTAGAATAAAGTGATCTACCCCTATTTTAATTGTCTATAAATTTCATGCATTTTTTTACCTTTTCACAGAATTTGACAGAAAATATCACTTAGCACTCAATCTTGTTACACAGAAAAAAGAACAGGTGAAAAAGAAAAGACATTGATGATATATATGATATGAAGAGAAGACGATGATGGTCTCCAGTAATCCCAAAAGACAAACTTCCAATTGAATGAGAACAGAAACAGATTTTACCTCTGGTCCATGAACCTCTTCAATTGCACCTACCAAATCAATCGTGAAATCCAGGTACCAACCACCAGACCCAAACACGTTACCTCTTGCCGATGATCCCCTCACCATCGCCATTGCCGATGATCCCCTCACCATCGCCATTGCCATTATGCCTAGCGATTTGATCGGTTCGATGACCTTGAATCAAGCTTCGAGTCCATCGGCGTCCCCTAGTGTCGACACATATTGTGTTCTGATAGGGTTTGTCGATTTCATGTGTGTGCCAACATTCAGATAATAACGAGGACAACTAATGAAGACGATCACAACAGAATTCGAAAGCAACATTACCGTGTCATGTTTTCCGGTGACAACACTTGGTGAACTCCGGCAGCTTCTTTACCCTCTCAATATTGTTGTATAGGAGGCAATTCAATGTCAAAATGGACGAGTTTCCCTCTACTGTGTGTCCAAAAACCAAAACCCATGATAGGGCTTCGCAGATTGGAAAACAAAAGCTAAATTCTGTCTTTTTATTGATAAATCTGGTCTAAAAGTTCCCAGAAATCACTCAATTTAGCTTTTCTACGGTATAGCTATGGTGACAATAAGACTTGTCAGTGACCTCAAAAACATAATGTTTTAGGGGTCGTTGTTCAAAACGTAAAAAACTTGCCACTATTTTAATAACCCAAAAAAATGATGTCGGTGATGTTGTTGGGAAGCACTTATGTAAGTATTTGGTAAATGGCACCGCCTCTCTGCCCTGATGTTCCATTTGGTTGAATTTTGAGTCTAGATTTTGTTTTCTCAAACTATCGTAATCAAAATACTGCAAAACCGCCATATCCGAGTGATGTGCACACACTAGTGTTTTAAGGGTGGTTCCAGTGGAGTGTGACAGATTTGGAGAAAGGGAAGATGAAAGAGAATGCGCTTTCTCTGCGAAGGGGTCCTCATATCAGTGATGAAGAAGGAGATGAACATCAAGGCGATGATGGATCCAAAACCAGAAAGCATCTCTCAATCGCTATACGGGTTACCAACTACTTAACCCGAATTGGTTACCTCTGGCCCATAATCCTTGTTGCCATTCTCATCTTCATAATCTCCTCTCTCTTTGTTCATTCTCGCGATTTGGTTTGCATCTCTTCTGTTTCTTCCTGTGATCGCTTCTCTCGTACTCGATTCTTCGGGTTGGAAGGGCTCGAATCGGACTTCGGATCCCTAGGCGTCCCGTGCTGTAAGCTCTTATCACTCGTTCACTCTTTCACTTGAATCCTTCATGCTTTACTACTGTTAAGGTATCGATTTGACTGCATCAGATCTGTATCAATGTGATAATGCTTTGTTCACATCGATGTTGTTGCTTCTACTTTAATGTTAATTCGGATTGTGGAATGAGAATCAAATGCTTCTACATACTTACACTGTGTTTTTGTACAAAACCATTCACCAAATGTCAAACATATCATGAGTTTCTCTTGATCATTCTGATCACTTAATTATTTTGTACAAAATCATTCACCAACTATCAAACAGTTTAGGCTCTATAATTCAGAAAAAGTTTTGGTTCGAGGATGAACACAACTCGTTGCATAAATACAAGGTGGCCTCTATGACAAGAAAGTTCTGTTAAATCTAAAGGATAAATTTTACCAGATAACCATCATACCGGTTATGTTTTACGGGTTGGAATGTTGTGCGACAAGTAAGATACATGAGAGGAAGTTGGTAGTTGTGGAAATAATAAGGATGTTTAGGTCGAACAATAGCTAACAGGATACCAAACAAGATCTACCCGACAATGTTGTGGTGGTTCCATCTAACCTATCTTGATTATGTTTTCTTGTTTCGGCTTCTATCCTAGGTTTGACTAGACCTTTTCCTACCTCGATTACGTTTTCTTGTATCGACCTCTACATGTTTGAATTTTGAAGGGTTGTTCTTTATTTGTGGCCCCAAATGATATTTACCGGTGCGTTTGGGATCCAGACAAGCATGACAAAAACAAGAATGTTTTTATATATATTTTTTGATTAATTTATTAAATTATAATGAAATAAAATATTTTTATAACAAAATATATCATTATAAAGTTTTCTTCAAAATAATTAAAATAACACCAAAATAAAAAGCTCATATATAGTATCCAACTTTTATTTTACACAGTTTCTATATTATTTTTAATATTTTATAATAAATTAACCAAAATATGAAAATAATATCTTGAGAACAATAACGTAGTTTAAAGAACATAAAATACAATAAATAAAAATTAAAAAAATGTAAAAAGGGGCGTATTTGATATTTTGAAGTTATATTGGTAAAATATATGTCTAATCCATCTTCTTCTACAAGGTGGGTGGTGGAACATGCATTTTGTTCCACCTAAAAGTTTTATCAAACATGATACAGTGATTTTTATTCAGTTATATGTATCAATAGGAATTGGGTTAGGCATAGGATGAGGATACAATGTAATGCATTAATGGTGGTCTGCTTAAAATGGGAAATTTATGGCACCTCAAACATTTGGACCAAAAAATACCCAACATTTAAGTCCAATGGATAACTTTGACCTTTTTTCACCATTTAAACTCACCAACTTCATCAAAGCATAAGTTTGGTGGTCAAAACACTAGTTCAAAATTTAATGCCCCAACTGCCACTTCTTGTTCTATACATTGAACCCAAAGCCAAAAACAGGATGGTGAAGTGGGGCAAGTAATCCATTAAGAAAATAATGATAACTGGTAGAGTCTCTCGTCAGTTTTCGTAAGACCATTTTTTTACACTTAAAACTTCACAGCAAAATAATGTTAACGTAACCTTCATAGTGTTTCTGCTGCTAAGGTAACCTTCACAGTTTTGCTGTGAAGGTTCAGCTTTTTTTTACCTTTACAACGTTTTGCTGTGAAGTGTAAAAAAATGTCTCACGAGAACCTATCCCTCCCCTGTATATATGTTGGAAATCCCTTTCTCCTCAACAACCCTTTTGGAGAGTGATACTGAGGCTTCCACATATTCTTATGTTAATAAACTAATAACAATCATTTTACATAAGAACCAAATGAAGAAGATGAAGATGAACACAAATGCATTGGAGAACAAAGCCATTTACAAGAAAATACCAAAGAAGTGGATGTTTCCTTCCAATTATCATTTTTTTTGCCTAAAAAGATTCTTCCATCCAATAAAATACAACAAAAAAAAAAAAAAAAACACTAGAAATCAAAAATATTATTATATCAACTCTAGGAGGAGATGCAAAATGCAATCCACAAACCCTACTTGCTGTTAGGTTGCAGATCTTGTTGCTGCTACTTTCTGCTCTTGCTCTTGTCCATAGACCTTGGACCTGCTGCAATCAACACAGTCACAGGATATTAGACCTGTAGAAGCTGGTTCAGTTGCAAACTTAAGTTCCGTTGTGAACCAGGGGACAAAAGAGAGCATGCCACGTGTCCCAAAACATTCACAGGATATTCATCATGATTCATGAATGTACGTTCTTTGACCCTCTGTTCACAAAGGAAAACGGGTTTGCAACTGAACTTTCGTCTAGAACTGTAATGGTGCAGAGGTTACAGTTTTGATAATCATGAAAAACCAGACTCTCCAGGACTGTTTGGTTGGTGTGTAGATAAAGTTTGTTTGTGTGGATTAATCTGTCTTTATAGCTTAAGAAGGTTTTTCTTTGTGAGTTCTTATATAGATGGAAGGAGCGTGTTTTTTAATTGGAAGGGGTAGGTTTAGAAAAAACGTGGCTTTCTAATAAAGCTTACTTAATAAGCCACTTTCTATCTCATTAAGCCACTACCAAACAGTCATGTATAGCTGACGACTGAATAAGCTACGAGTCTCATTCAGCTCATCAAGCTGCTAAGAGTAAGATACTAACATGGGATGAAAAGTTTAAGTAGTTTGCATACCTAATCCAATTGCTTCTGAACCTTTCATGATCCTTAATCTCTTGCATGAATCTATAAACATCCTGCAAAACCACAAAAATCCCACAAATATTTTAGGGTTTAGTTGACAATATCATCACTTTTAACTTCTTCTTTCATAGTTTGATAACCAGAAAACAAGAACTCACTCCCAAGGAACATCACCAACAAGCATCCAATCGCCATCTTTATCTTCATATGTTAACACACATTCAGACCCATGAAGAAGATCTTTCAAGTTACTTTCACTAAGTGCTTCTTTCCCTCCAAGTCCATTAGAAGTACATTGGTCTGATCCAAAAAGCACCCACATCAAGAAAATGATCAAATTCAACATTTTTATTGCAATCTTGACTTAAAAGATGGTAAAGAAAGCAAGAAAGCAAGCATACCAAGAGTAAAGCAGCTAAACATCTTCTCAAGAGCTTTAGAAAGTTCTGCATAGTTATGGTAAATCTTGAGATCGATCTTTCTTAGATATGGAGCACCATCCATGCTCACCTTCACATAAAGGCACCCACTGCCGGATCCCGAATTCCCTTCGGCAACAGCCACTCCACTCTTCGATAAATTGGTGGCCATGGTGTTCTTGCGGAAAGATCGAATAGGTGGCCATCCTACAACCTGTGCCCTGTTCTTGAAAGCAATTCACACAATCTTTAACAAAGATTCATGATGAATAAGAGCTCAAAACAGAAGGTAAACAGCCAAATTCCGCACAGGAAAGCCAAAGTTTTGTTCTCAGGGGTAGATCATAGGAAAAAGATACAAATCAAACTCCAGATTTTGACTCAATTCACACAATCTAAAATAATGATTCATTATGAATAAGAGTTCAAAACAGAAGGTAAACAGCAAAATTCCCCATAAGAAAGCAAAACTTTTGTTCTTAAGGGTAAATCATAGGAAAAAGATACAAATCAACTCCAGATTTTAACTCAATTCACACACTCTTGAACAATGATTCATGATGAACAAGAGTTCAAAACAGAAGGTAAACAGCAAAACTCCCCACAAGAAAGCCAAGTTACTGTTCTTAAGAGTATACCATAAGAAAAAAGATACAAATCAACTCCAGATTTCAGCTCAATTCACACAAACTTGAACAAAGATTCATTATGAATAAGAGTTCAAAACAGAAGGTAAACAGCAAAATCCCCCACAAGAAAACCAAATTACTGTTGTTAAGATCATATCATGGAAAAAAGATACAAACCAATTCCAGATTTTAACTTTCTTCACCCAAAATTTTCCAAGATTAGGGCTTCAAAAAGCACATATCACATAATCTAGATGGATTTTAAAAAACTTACTTAGCAGAAGGAGGAGAAGTGCCATTTTCTTTAACAGAGCCTTTCTTCTTCTCTTCATCAGGTTTAGTATCTGATTTTTGTGCTTGATTTTTGTCTAAACCAGCATTAATCCCACTTCTAGGAGAGAACAAAACAGAAGAACACTTATCCAAATCAGCTTCAGATCCACCACTCAAAACCCATTTTCCAGAACCATTAATGTTAACATCAGAAAACCCTCTTTTAGCTCCTGACATCAAGTTCTTGGTATGCCCAATTTTGRTGGCATTTTMTTCAGAATTCTTGCTAAATCCAGGCAACCCAAGTCTRAGTTCAGTGGCCTTAAGATTAAGAACATTGTTGGTTTCAGATTCAGATGAGATATTGGAGGATTCAGAGCTTCTTTGCAAAGAAGAAGCATCTGATAAGCCTATGTAATCATGTTCAAGTGGCACAGACATCAATGAAATCTTGAAACAAAATCAAGAAATGAAATCAAGAAACTGGTGAAAGAAGAAGAAGAAGAAGAAGAAGTAAAAGAACTTAGAGATTGTTGTATTGATTAAAGATGGAAAAAAGGTAGAGAGGAAGAGGGTGTTTTGCAGGTTGTAGGGGGTGTTTTGATGCAGAAGAGAACCTTCTCTTGCCTTTAGCTTTGAATTTATTTTCTTTTTTAATCCTTTTATGTAATCATGAGATTATTTTTTAAGATATCCATTAATTTCTTGCCACACTTTGCGTTTGGAAAAAAAGAATCTAGAACACAGGAACTTCAAGCATATTCATTACTAAAATACCATACCATTTAATAGAGAGTTCAAACGAGAACATGGTTAAAATATGACTGATTCATATGTGATTTTCTATTGAAATCATATGTGATTATAGAAGAAGGTCATGTGATTCACATGTGAATTTAATATAAAATCACATGTGATTTGGTCGTTGTCGTGTTTTCTTATTTGATCATTGTTTTTGTTTAAACTCTACCCTAGCACTTAACTATATCTAATATATAAAGTTCAAACTAAATATCCATAATGAAAAAAATACATCTTTTTAGAGTTGTATAATTATTACACTTGAAACAAGTTCAAATAAAAGACTAAATATCGTGAGAATGGAAGGTTCATATGTGAATCCATTGAAAAAATCAGGAAAAAAAAATCAATTTAAAAATGTATATATAAAACAACGTTACAGATTATTCATATGAGTTCACATATGCATCTTCAAATTGACTTTCTCAAATGATTCACATTTCTTCTTACCATGGTCGACCTTATGTCTAGGTAAAAAAAAGTAACTCTTTTCTTTACGTTGCCCTCAGTCATCTATGATGGTTCCCCCCAGTGGTTCAATTCGTTTTGATGAAACCCTTCACTCCCTCGCTTGACAGTTGTTCTCTTGTATACTGATTGTTTTATTACTGCTACTTCTTATAATCATTATACGGTGATAACGTTGGTTAATAGTTTTATTAATATATCTTAATTTTTTGTTCTTAATTTAAAGATAAATCAATTAACCTAATTACGATAAAGAATTTCTATCTTTAAGACCCCAGTCTTTCTGGATCCACTTAGTGGTGTGCAAAATCCGAATAATCCAAAATCTGAACTCAAACCCGAACCGAAAATAAGATATGTATGTAAAACCGGAATACCCCGAAATCTGAAAACCCGAAAACCGACTTTTTGGGAAAAGTTCGGGTTGGGTTTGATTTTTGGCCACCCGATCCATCTGAAACCCCGAAATATACATGCATATATATTTTAAATACTATTTTATCTTTTGAAAATTCTAAAAATCTTAGTCGTTCGTACTTTTTTTCTAATTTCTTAGCATACCATTGTTTTATCAATCCTCTAAATCGATGAAATTCATCGTCAAAATCAATTGGATGTATATTTTTTGCATTATAACTAAACCCGAACCCGATCGATCTCAACCCGAAACTCTATCAACCCGAACTCAAAGCAATCTGAAATCCAAAAAGTGGGGTTTGATTTTCATATCCGAAATCTGATCAGGTTTTTGATTTTCCTACCCGACCTGCCAAATGCATACCTCTAGATCAACTGCTTCTTATATTGTCATGAGATATACTACTTTTAGGCAACAAAATTTATTGGCATTAAAAGTTCCAACAAATTAACCACAAATTTTTTACGAGATATAAAACCATACGAAAATAAATTTGTCTCTACCTAATCAACGGATAATGAATTTTAATCCTTTTTCGGTAAATACAAAATATTAAATAAATAAATATAAAATATATTTAAATCTTTATAAAGAAAGAGTTTGTTCCTATTTTTAAGTTCATTTTCCACCCAACTATTAAAAAAATAACATTAAAAATATGGGTAAACAAACAGCCCCTAAAAACCCTAAAACATTTTTGAATAGTTAAGAGGTAAATTGTGTTTGGCAAAAAAAAAAATTATCTCCTGATAGTTCTAAAACCCTTTGAAATGGTTTTGTATCTTGGGTTTCCCTCAACCAGTAAGTGTCTTAATTTCATTTTGAATAATTATCAAACAACTATATTTTATTTTGCACCATATCATAAGAGTCTCTAATCACTTTGAACATTTAATCATCCTGCATCAAACTATTCAGAAACTACCAAACAACTCCTTAGTGTTTTTGGTGTTGGATTGGAGATGATCTAACAAGATAAGTCATCTTCAGTTTATGTATGTATATATATAGTGTTGACTGTTGAGTCCGTATGAGACAAATCTGTTTTCGTGAGACCCGTGAAACCACTTTTTTTACACTTGAAGCTTCACAGCAAAATACTGTGAAGGTAAAAAAAAAATCGAACATTTAAAACAAAAACACTGTGAAGGTTACCTTCACAACGTTTTACTGTGAAGTTTCAAGTGTAAAAAAATGGTCTCATGGGTCTTACGAAAACAGGTTTGTCTCATGTGATCCCATGTGTGTGTGTGTGTGTATATATATATATATATATATATACTTGGTATCATGTAAGACCAAGGGTTTTTCGTGAGACTCGTAAAACCAATTCTCAACTCTTAGATTAGATTTAAAATCTGATAATCTGAACATTTATAAACGCCACGAGACTTCTCAATAATCACAAAATTATCACTATGCAACTTTAGACCATTTGATCGTTAGTTTATAAAGTTGATCAATAAACATAAATTGGTCTTACGGGTCTCACGAAAAACCTTTGGTCTCAATTGAACCCAACCCTTATATATATATATATATATATATATATATATTAAAAACCGTGAAAACCTCATTCAACCAATCATAATTTTTCATTTTGTTCATTTTTCTGTAATTATGAGAGGTTGATTAACCATTTTTATTGTAGAGAGTGTTAATCATAGATATTATCACCTTCATTATTTTAATTTTAGAGAAATACATGAAATAGTTTCATTAAATATTATATGAAAAACAATTTCATAACAATATATGAAACAAATTCATCAAAAAATGTATTATATGAAACAATTTCACAAGATTAAACATTTTCATTAAAAAATTTCATAAGATTAAACAATGAAATCGACGTATGAGGGTGGTTTGTACGGTTTTAACAAATGAGGGTGGTTTTCATTTGATCGCTCATATATATATATATATATATATATGTATATGTATGTATGTATGTATGTATGTATGAATGATACATACATACAAACATATGCTATTATTATATAGTACACATCAAAAGCATCCAATATCTTTCTTCTAGAATTGTACCCTTTAAAAGAAAGGGCTTTGAAGCATCTATTACTTAAATAATTGAATGTATATAATAAAAATGTAACAAAAATATATTAAAATGTACGGAAATAGTAAAAATTAAATTTTTGTTCAACAATAGAATATGGCCCCGGTTCACTTGCTAGCCTCACCAACTAAGTACATATTGACCAAAAACATTTTCTATCCTAATATTATCTGATTATTACAGTGAGTTGTGTTAAAAATTTAATAATAAATAATACATATATTTAATGAGATTTAAGTAGCGTTTGGTATGTAGACAATATTGATCATTACTAAACAAGACAAGAGTGCCAGATAAGAAAAGTTATATATCTGGTGTTTTGTCATGACTAGGACTGTACAAGACTATGCTAGACAAGTCGTCCCTTAATGTTGTTTGTTAATTTTATATAGTGGTTACTTGTAGTGGAAGAGGAAGTGGTGATCGTGGTGAAGGAGGTCGGCGATTGTAGTTGTGGTTGTGGAGATGGTAGTGGTGGTGGCCGACAATGGTGGATATGGATGTTGAGGTGGTGGTGTCCAATGTGGTGGAGGTAGATACGGTGATGAATGATAGGAAATCAATGGTGGTGGTGGTGGTGGTGATCGCAATTGGAAGTGGTGGCCGGTAGGAGTGCCCATGGGTTAGGTTGATCGGGTTGAAAATATTTGAACAACTCAACCCAATGCTGACGGTTTGAAAAATCTTAACCCAGCTCAATCCAAAATCAAAGTGCAACCCAACCCAAACCGTACGGGTTGGTCGGGCTGATACTTTGGTACATTAAAATATTTTTCTAACATTAAATATGTTATTTCTCTACTGATAATTTATTTTTCATCATCAACCATTTGATACAACTTATTTATACTTCTTAAACCTTACGTATATCACGTTCAATTGATTTTCTCAATTTACATATATATGTTTAAAGTTACTAAACACATATACGAATGAGTTATATAGAGATGGAGAATAGATTGAAAATTTGTGTATATGAAGTGGATACATGATAGTGTAATTGTCTAATGTATATATTAATAGAAACTCAACAATCATGTTAAATACAAGGATATCGGGTTCATCAGGCTGAGTTGGGTTCAAATAATATTAATCCAATTTCAACCCAATACCGACAGTTTGAAATTTTTACAACTCGATTAGACATCGGGTTGCTTCGGATTGAGTTATTTCATGTTGGTTTGATCGGGATTGATCGGGTTTTTGAGCACCTCTAGTTGCTGGTGGTCGTGGAAGACGTGGAGATGGTTAACAGTGGTGGCGGTCAATAGTATTAGATGTGGTAGTTATAGAGGAGGTGGTTGGCGGTGACCGCTGCCAATGGTTGTGGTGGTGGAGCTAGCTATGGGTCATTGTACGACTATTAAATCAAATATTATATTAAAATTATATCAAATGAGAATAGGCTGATGAATTTTTGGCTGTGTTTCCTCTCGTTCCACATATTTTAATGGATCTCTTTTTCCGTCTTTTCTAATCCCACACAGTCCATGTCCATATCTGTGTTTTTGTATCATGTCGCATCAAACGTAGAACGATAGATTTTTATCTGTCTCCGTCGTATAAAACAGATAATAATAAATTTTATAATATAATATAGCAATATTATCTGAAATGACATGAATACTAAATGGAAAAGACCACAGAATTATTATTATTTTGTATTTACTTTTTTCAGCCAATAAGTGTACTCCGCCACCAACAAACCAAAATCATTTTCTAAGTACCATCAATAGCCTTTTTGTACCGTATGTCTTATAAAATAAACAAAATCAGAAAATTTATGAAAATTACATAAAAATATACATTTAACTTGATTTTTATTTGGATAAGATATTTTCAAAATTTCTATTTTGTTAATTAAGATGTAAA